TTTTGACATAAATATCCACGGAAAATGGTTATATTTTTGGATTATCCAGTTAGAGGTTTTTGGGTTAGGTCGCGTAAATATATAAATGTGTCGCTAAACCCCGCCACCACCCGACACAGCCAACGGGTTTTAACGACACATGTATATATTTACGCAGTCTAACTCAATAAACCTATATTATGGATAATATTGCTCGCGAAAGCTTACGTGTTAAACTGATTATCCAGTGATTTGTAATTATCTGCGGGCGTCCTCCCCGTGATTGGCGCAGATAATCGAGAGTCTGCTATACTTTGCTTTCCTTCTCCCGATTGCTTCCTTCCATCATCCTTCCCATTTAACCTCACACCTTCCAATTAATTCCCCATCTCGCAACAACCCCACGCGTCACTCCTCTTTCGCGACTCATATCTATGTTTATGCAATAGCGCCCCTCGTGGCGGATACGATGTACACAGTATCACCCCCACCCCCCATGTCTTGCAAAGACCCGATCCAAAGATGTCTAAAATACTTATGTATAAAAAGTCTACTGAGGCATTGCACAGTGACTGCATTATTAAATGTCCATTAGTTTGCGATGGACATTGAATACCCTCTTCAACATAAAATGTCAATATGACCACACCTACGATCAGCACGGTTGGCTTCGGATGGTGCTGTGAAAATAAGTCAAACATACTTATGACGACAGTGGGAGCCTGAGCAGATCGGGTGTAAAACCAGGCAGCAACGCATGAAGTGCATAAAAGACAGCGTTTCATTGTCTATGTAATGTGTAATGTACAGCGCCGGCCCCATGACCTGGGTGTTACCGTTCATGTTGTTGCCAGACAGGGGTGTACACGGCGTGTGACTCCTTCGCCCGATATGCAGGAGGTCGTGGGTTAGATCCCGACCCTGACGCCTGCTGTATATTTGGAGTTTGCGGCATCTCTCTCGCCGTGGCCGTGAGGATTTTTCTCCAGGTCCTCCGGGTTTTCCCTCCACATTTAGGATCAACATCGCGCGTGTGGCGGATTTGGCTGCTATAAATTCCCACGTGAGAAGTCACTTCGTTGAGCTATCAATTGTGGTCAGGTCGCTTCTGGAAAAGGTGCTACACAGCTCAGTGGGCCTTACCTGGTAAAAATAAAAATAGGTAGGGGGGTGTCCATAAATGACGTCACGCGATTTTTGACCCCCCCCCCCTCGTCACACGGCATCACAAAAAGTCAGACCCCCCCTCAAATATGACGTCACAAAGCTCTGCCCCCCCCCCCCCCCCCAATAAAACATGCTTCAAATCGCTTTACACTTTTGTCATTGTAGTGCGTATTTAATGTGGCGCTGCACTCTGATGGGAAGGGGGGGGGGGGAGTTTGGCTGTGGGAGTTTACAAGGGAGAGGGAAGAGGGTCTGTGGTGTGCAGGGACGGGAGGCACCGGGGAGAGAGGGGGGAGGGTTTGTGGCGTGCATGGGCGTGTGGGGCTAGATAAATTTGCAAGTAAATGGACTTGTACAAGTCGAAATCGGACGACGACAACCCTCTTCCCTCTCCCTTGTAAACTCCCACAGCCAAACTCCTTCCCCCCCCCTCCCCCCGTGCCTATATAAAGCCACAACAGGAAGATCATTTTTTCAAACCTGAAGACGGACGCTTGTGTTGCGACCGAAACGTCGTGTTTTCTTTTATTCTATTATTTTTTTCTATCTACGTGACTTTAACGAAGGAACCAGAGAGTATAGGTCTGTGTGTGTTCAGGATAGCAGAGCGCACAGGCGAGGCCACATCCACCCAGGGTGGAGGCGCGTGATGAATGATGGGAACACCGAGCCACCTCGCCCGGGGTCTCTTATCTTGACGACGGCCACCACTGCCCAGCGCTGCAGAGTCACACGTACTCTAGACGCCTTCCCGATTGAGCACGGTTGGCTACGTACGGTGCGAAAGAAGTTCAACATGCATACTAAGGCGCTATTGGGCAGAACAAGTATTAAGAATAGGTTTTACCCTTTCTGGCAATAAAACAGGAGGCATTAAGATGTTCAAACACCAAATATAAACCTTTTGCAAGGAATCAAGTCTGAATTAACCACATGTACTTCTTTATGGTCTAGTATCACCAGTGTCAATCAATTTCAAATACAATGCATGTGAAACTGTAGATGCTGCTGCTCTGCATCCACATCAGCCATACGAAAGAAGAAGTTTGCAAGTTAGAGGCGGTGTATGGTGGGGGGGGGGGGGGGTCAACCAACTACTGGTGTCCATCGTAGTGAGACCTGGGGCTGTGACAGAGTCAATCAAAGCCACTTGTGTGCATCTGTTTTACATTTCTCCATGAAAACATTCGCTACCTGGCGACAAGGGAGAACCCTTAGGGGTACCTTCATTTTGTCTATAGAATGTACCATTCCAGGTGACGTAAGTATTGGTAAGGCAGTGCCTTTCGGTAGTCACGTAGGTAGAAAAATTATAAATCACGACGTTTAGATCGCAACACAAGCAACCGTCATCAGGTGAGAAAGAACTGCTGCAACATAAGGTAGGAGGAAAGCTGCTGATGCAGGCTGCTTCTCAAGGGTAGAAATGGGCGTAGCCACCTCAGCTGTATTTAACTCAGCTCACTTGGTTGCTCTAATCAAGGACATTTCTCAGTCTCCAGATCATTTGCTTGTCAGTTTCGATGTAGTCTCTCTGTTCACCAAGGTACCTTTGCCTGACACCATTGCAATCATTGAAGACTTGGTCCAACAGGGACTGAAACCTGGAATTGTACATTCTATATACAAAATGAGGGTACCCCTATGAGGTCTCCCTTGTCGCCAGTGGTAGCGAATGTTTTCATGGAGAAAGTTGAAACAGATGCACACAAGTGGCTTTAATGACTGTCCCAGCCCCAGGTCTCACGACAATGGACACCAGTAGGGGGAAGTTGGTTGACCCCCCCCCCCCCACCATACACCACCTCTAACTTGCAAACTTCTTCTTTCGTATGGCTGATGTGGATGCAGAGCAGCAGCATCTACAGTTTCACATTCAAGAGTGGAAGTTGGCAGCCTTTCACGCGGCCCACTCCGTTAAGTGAGAAATCATGCCGAAATGTCATTAACCGAACATTGATCATCGATCTCACCAAAGCAGCAACACTGGATAACTAATTTCACCATTCACTCCATTCACCCATTGCACGTGGACAGCAACCAAAATAGCAAGTCATTTTTTAGCGAATTCGGTAAAAAAAACCTCAATATTTCAAGTTTTAATGCACGTGATGAATACGTACACAGTCCTCAGAGTCGCATGCGGCTCTAGAACCCGCAGGTTGCCGACCGCTGCACGTGAAATTCGTGGCCCTGGCGCACCGTGGCGACCCCAATTGCACCCGGTGAAATCCCGTCCTTGGGCCCACGCTGATGCTGCTCGGGCGGCCGACCGCTCAAGCTGCAGTCGGAGCATTTCACGTCGGGGCTTCACCACCTCGGCGCCGTGCCAGCAGTGTTCGCGGTGGAATGTGCCCCCTCCCATAGTTACGGCGGGAACGGTCACTTTATGAACTACGAGTAGCGGAATGAGGCCTGCCGGTCCACCCTGCAGCCGGACACTCATGATGGTGCAAAGTTGCTCATGGATCGCGATTCGAGTCCAAACACACGGGCACACAACCCACAACATACAATGCGCACACGCACCGACATTCGCCACTAGGTGTCAGTGGTGTCACCAAAGTGCTTGCGCCATGCTGGGTGGACTTTTAAGCACACACGTGCTCCTGTCCCTTCATTGGCTTCCCTGTCCATACCCCGTATTGATTTTAAGATTCTCTTGCTGGTATTCAGGGCCTTAAATGGACTTGCTCCTGCCTACATTCATGAACTTTTTCACCCAGATATTCCATCAAGATCATTAAGATCTCATAATTGTTTTTTTACCCTTTTATCTGGCAACAAAACTTACACCTTTTTTTACAAGGAGTCATGTTTGCATTGACCACAATACCTGCAGTCGGAATGTAAACAAAAAACATAACTCTTGATAATGTATGCAACTGTCCTTGAAATTGATTGGTCCACACCCGAGACAGCTTTCCTTAGAGCCTAGTCTCACATGGTGTTGGACCAGATGACGCCAAAAGGCGCACAACTCAAAGACAATGCACCATCAAGTATGATAGCTCAGGGTAAGCATTTACACCATTGGAACCTCATTTGCCAGTAGCAAAATATGATAATAGATTTTTTACCCTTTTATCTGGCAACAAAACTTACACCTTTTTTTACAAGGAGTCATGTTTGCATTGACCACAATACCTGCAGTCGGAATGTAAACAAAAAACATAACTCTTGATAATGTATGCAACTGTCCTTGAAATTGATTGGTCCACACCCGAGACAGCTTTCCTTAGAGCCTAGTCTCACATGGTGTTGGACCAGATGACGCCAAAAGGCGCACAACTCAAAGACAATGCACCATCAAGTATGATAGCTCAGGGTAAGCATTTACACCATTGGAACCTCATTTGCCAGTAGCAAAATATGATAATAGATTTTTTACCCTTTTATCTGGCAACAAAACTGAAACCTTTTTTTACAAGGAGTCATGTTTGCATTGACCACAATGCATTCCGACTGCAAGTATTGTGGTCAATGCAAACATGACTCCTTGTAAAAAAAAAATGTCAGTTTTGTTGCCAGATAAAAGGGTAAAAAACCAATTATCATATTTTGCTACTGGCAAATGAGGTTCCAATGGTGTAAATCATTAAGATCCTCAGATTGTGCATTGCTCACTGTCACCACGCTCGAGGCTTCACACTTGGGGTGATGGCGGCGACTTTGCAATTGCGGCTCCTGAACTCTGGAACTCGTTGCCCCTTCGAGGTCAGGCTTCTGAGAAACTTTACAAATCTTCAAATCTCAACTAAACACATCTTTTTAAAATTGCTTTCCCTCGAGTTATTGTCAAAACTTCTGACTTTTCTTTTCTTGGTTGATGTTAAACTATTTTCCGACTTTTCATGCACAGCACTCTAGAGAACAATTGTTTAAGGGCGCTTTATACATTGACATTATTATTACTAATTAGCTACCAGAAAAGGTGCAACACCGTGTTTTGAAGCATGTAATACTTCAGTTTGTAGTTGCCGACTACATGAAAGGACGTGAAATTCAGGTTTGAGGTGACGGCCGGTATTCGGCAGAGCCGAATTCACCAACTTTATTCAATGCATTCGATAACAACCAACCACGCGTAGAGATGTTTAAAAACCCAGACACCAATAATAACACCCATTCCTTAATTAACTTTTGCCCAAATGTAAACACACTTCTTGAAAATACATCAGCCACGTTTTGCTTTATTGTTTGTATTTAACTTGTATTCAAAACAAAACAAATGGTGAATTGCACCCAAGAGTCAGGGCAAGGCCGACTAGGAAGTGCTGGGCAGTTTGCACTGTTCAGCACTTAGGCGCACAGGTGAGGTCTGCACCAACAGGTGATGGCGGTTGCAGGTAGTTGGGGACAGCTTTTTGCACCTTCATCTCGGTCATCAGAAGGACATGGTGATACTGGATGCAGCAGTGACGGATTTGTGAGCTTGGACCGTAGGGGTTATCGCAGTGCTACTTCGGAATACGTGGCTCGTATCTAGAAAAGTGCGAGTTCAACTCCTGAGCGGGGGTAAATGTGAGCTCCTTCATCCTTTTAGAGGGTCGATAAAATAAGTGCTACTTTGTGTGGAAGTCAACGTTGGTTGTTGCCATGGATGGACTTTCATCACCTCCCACAGAAATATGGATATTTCACCACCGGGTCAGGGGCAGCGTGGATAATTTTGAGCACCTTCTCGCTTCGAATTGTAACGATCTGCATCACGAAGGCGGCTGGGAGAAAGGGGGCCATGAGATGGAGTGCAACTTTGATGTGCAGGCACGATGCCCTCCGGGCCCAGGACACGTGTTGAAAAGCCTGGGGTGTCCATAGAGGATGCCGAGGGCGCACTGCATTTGGCTTGTACAAATGTCGTGGGTGGGCAGGAGTGGGCAGCCACCCCGCCCCCCTACGTTCCCATGCGGCATTTAGGTTGCGACAAGTGGGATGGCCGTGCTTGCGTGTGTTGTAGGATGAGAGGTGGGGAGCGGTGGTGTAGCGGTTAGCGCGCTGCGCTACAAACCCGGTGACTCGAGTTCGATTCTCGCTCACGGCCAACGCTATTGATTATCTGAACTGGACCTGGGCCTCCCCTAGGTCAACTCGGCCTCAAATTAGTACCAGGTGTAATGTGTAAACATCGCCACAAGGGAGACAAAGGCGGCCGGGCGTAGTGTTGGCCACCCACCCACTTGTGTGCCGTGCCGGCCTTCATTAGGTGCTCGCTAGCAGCACTTGCCCCATCAGTCTGTTCAGGCTATACGGGGGGATCATTGTCTTTGTATGATATGGGGAAAACAGGTTAGTGAGAAGCACATAAGAGTGACACCCAGAGGTTTTGAGAACGAGGGGAGGCCCTCGAAGTCAGATGGTGGGATACTGTGAGGGCGGACCTTGGAGGTCAAGTGTGCACCGTCCGGCAGCCGAGAGACCTGGTAAATAACTTTGACGCCAACGTGTGCCTAATTGGGCCACGAGCATCAAGAGTTTCTCAAGTGGCCTCACCAAGGTGACGTAAGGACCCTAAGACTGCACGGCGAAGACACTTGCGGTTAACGGGTACTGTAAGACATTTGGGGTTAACGGGGTCTGTAAGACGTTTGCGGTTAATGGGGTCTGTAAGACATTTGGGGTGAACGGGGTCTGTAAGACATTTGGGGTTAACTGAGTCTGTAAGACATTTTAGTTTAACGGGGTCTGCAAGACATTTGGGGTTCACGGCCTTAGAGAGGGAGTCACAGCCACGACTTCCCCTGGACACCTCCATCTCAACGAACCGATGCGTTTTTTGTTTGTTTGCTTGTTGCTGTGATTTGCAGCTGCAACGACACTCGCCAATGCGGGTTTTTTTCCCACGTTCGTGACGACGCGAACATCTTCAGTCGTTCAAGCGCGCATTCCAGGGATCGCTGCTCGTGAACTCGACGTTGAATTCAGAATTGTCATAATTGAAGCGCGGCGTCGATGAGCCGCTGGCGACCGTGATGACGTCGTCTTGGTCGTCGCCCTCCTCCTGCAATAGCTGGGACTTTGACCTGCGCACGGAAGAGCACGGCTCAGATTAAGATCGCGCCCAACTCCTGCACAGATGGTCACCGCATCGCGTGGCGCTTTCAGGTGCGCTTCTGCGGCCGTTTGGAATGACGCTCTTCCGATATTAGGAAGCCACTGGAGCTGTGCACTTTTAAATGATGAAGATTGACAAACTCAGATCTTTAGAAAAGCTTTTTGTGCTTTAGTTTGGTGTCCTTCCCGCCACAACCTCTGATGACGTACAAATTAAGTTCAACGTACACACACATATGTGCAGCGATGTAGTGAGCCCCGTCGCTTCTCCCACCGTTCACTGATACTTTACGCGAGACCACCAGGTGGATGTTAATAGTGAACATGCGTGCTGGGATGCAACTCTCATGCGGTACGAGCTGCGTGTTGCATTGAGCGGCAACCCATAGAATCGTGGAGCCCATGGGTTTGTTTAACACGAACTTCGTTCGCACCGTATGTAGCCAACCGTACTAATTGGACGTCAGTTTAACACGTAGTTTTTCGTGACCAGAATTATTCATCTTGATTTGAAGCTTTCGTGACTGCAGGAATCCATACTCTTTGGCTCTTTCAGTAAAGTCACGGAGGTAGAAAAATACTCGATCACGACGTTTCGATAGCAACACAAGCCATCGTCCTCAGGTGAAACAATACAGCAGGCGGACTGCTGAGGCAAGAGGAAATGTAGCGAGAGAGCTACTGCCACAATAAGTGATAGACGTTTGTGGTGGGTACACCCAAGGGTAAGTGGGCGGGGCCAGGGATGGAATTTGTAAGTAAATGTAAGGCGAGCAAACAGAAGAGGGGAGGGGCTGCCATAACGAGCGAGCGGGTGGGGATGCAATTTACAGAGGGATCGGCGGCAGGAGGAGAGAGAGGGGGTGGGGCATGTGGAGTGACATCACGTACGGGACACACATTATTGGCTTATTCTAGCAGTAATTTGAATAACTTTTTCAATAATGAAACGTAAATTTTTTAACGAATTTGCGTAAAAATATTTATTTCCTTTCGACCTTCTTCTGCGGGAGTGTAAAAATCCACCCGCTCATGATTATTAATGACGGGGGGGCTCTTTTGTAGTGACATCACGTACGGATGTAGCAGTGTGCTGCGTATATTTATTTTTTACCGTCACTTTCTGTAAAGAAACGTCTTATTTGAAGCGACTTTGCATAATACATTATTTAATTAGCTCGACCTTCCTCTGCGTTAGTTTAAAAATCCACCCACTCATGAATATTAATGATGGGGGGGGGGGCCTCGTTGTGGAGTGACATCACGCGGGGGGGGGGGCCTCATGTGGAGTGACGTCAATACAGGGGAGTGGGCTTCATGTGGAGTGACGTCACGCGCGGGACACACACATTCTTGGCTTATAGTAGTAATACACAACACATACTGCAATTCCTTACAGGTGAGTCACATGCTAAGGGGCTAAGTAGTGATCTATTACATAATTGTATACACCCCCACACCCCATCTCTGATCTCGAATCCTGATGGGGTTCAACAATGATGACGTCATCTTGCACTATTTAAGAATAGTGGATGGCTTCACTATTCTGGCAAATCGCTTGAAGATGCTGGATGAAATTTCCAGCGAAACGTCGTACTCAAATTGTAAATGTTATGGATCCACTCTTCAACACACCGGTGGGCTAAAGTAGTGAACTATTTGTCTTTTTTCAATGTGACACATTTTTTACTGATTGGCCATGTCGGGTGGTGGAGGGTTGCGACACATTTATAAATAATGCGATCTAACCCAAAAAATCTTTATTATGACTAATTGGACGTATGTGTAAATATGACTGCAGGAGATTGTTCCTGTTAAGGAAGCGCAAAAAGAACTCGGGCTGGAATGATGCGTTCGTGAACGTGATGCATTGGCTTGCGACATCCCCGTGGCCACTGGGAGTGACAATTCACTTAATCGGGAAGGGACAGAAGCAGATAATTATCAGATGATTATCTGCTTCTACTTCTGAGATCTCGTGGCCTTTGGTTCACAAAGCATGAGGCAGCACTTTCCCACCTGCCCTCTTACAGACAGTTATGCATGACATTCAAAACCATTTGATCATTTTTATGTATATATTATCTTTTTTATTCTCGAAACTGAAATTGAGCCAAATTAAGTTGGTCTACCAAACCAAATTTTATATAATTTTCTCGTGCAGTCAATCGGTAACTGGGCTAAGTCCATAAATCCGTATCATTCTGACCTGCCCCTACTGCACATCCGTGAAAAAGGGATTTAAAGCTCATTAGATCACTCCTGCAGTATAAATCAAGATTCTGATTCTGAATCCACTGCATTTCAGAACCCGGTTAAATCGGAGGCAGCTCTCTGGATTGCAACCAAGGATCTCAGCGGTGGTCAGCTCCGCCCCCTGACCTGCGAGGAACCCGGCCACCTTATGATAGTCCATCGGCAATGCTGCCTGTGACACCGGCGTGTCCAGGAGCAGGGAGGCACTGGTGTGTGTGGCTGTGTGGGGTGAGGGGGAGGGAGGCACTGGTGTGTGTGGCTGTGTGGAGTGAGGGGGAGGGAGACACTGGTGTGTGTGGCTGTGTGGGGTGAGGGGGGAGGGAGACACTGGTGTGTGTGGCTGTGTGGAGTGAGGGGGAGGGAGACACTGGTGTGTGTGGCTGTGTGGGGTGAGGGGGGAGGGAGACACTGGTGTGTGTGGCTGTGTGGGGTGAGGGGGAGGGAGGCACTGGTGCGTGTGGCTGTGTGGAGTGGGTGTGGAGGGAGACACTGGTGTGTGTGGCTGTGTGGAGTGGGTGTGGAGGGAGACACTGGTGCGTGTGGCTGTGTGGGGTGAGGGGGAGGGAGGCACTGGTGTGTGTGGCTGTGTGGAGTGGGTGTGGAGGGAGACACTGGTGTGTGTGGCTGTGTGGGGTGAGGGGGAGGGAGACACTGGTGTGTGTGGCTGTGTGGGGTGAGGGGGGAGGGAGACACTGGTGTGTGTGGCTGTGTGGGGTGAGGGGGAGGGAGACACTGGTGTGTGTGGCTGTGTGGAGTGGGTGTGGAGGGAGACACTGGTGCGTGTGGCTGTGTGGGGTGAGGGGGAGGGAGGCACTGGTGTGTGTGGCTGTGTGGAGTGGGTGTGGAGGGAGACACTGGTGTGTGTGGCTGTGTGGGGTGAGGGGGAGGGAGACACTGGTGTGTGTGGCTGTGTGGGGTGAGGGGCAGGGAGACACTGGTGTGTGTGGCTGTGTGGGGTGAGGGGGGAGGGAGACACTGGTGTGTGTGGCTGTGTGGGGGGAGGGGGAGGGAGACACTGGTGTGTGTGGCTGTGTGGGGTGGGTGTGGAGGGAGACACTGGTGTGTGTGGCTGTGTGGGGTGAGGGGGAGGGAGGCACTGGTGTGTGTGGCTGTGTGGAGTGAGGGGGAGGGAGACACTGGTGTGTGTGGCTGTGTGGGGTGAGGGGGGAGGGAGACACTGGTGTGTGTGGCTGTGTGGGGTGAGGGGGGAGGGAGACACTGGTGTGTGTGGCTGTGTGGAGTGAGGGGGAGGGAGACACTGGTGTGTGTGGCTGTGTGGGGTGAGGGGGAGGGAGACACTGGTGTGTGTGGCTGTGTGGAGTGGGTGTGGAGGGAGACACTGGTGTGTGTGGCTGTGTGGGGTGAGGGGGAGGGAGACACTGGTGTGTGTGGCTGTGTGGGGTGAGGGGGGAGGGAGACACTGGTGTGTGTGGCTGTGTGGGGTGAGGGGGAGGGAGACACTGGTGTGTGTGGCTGTGTGGGGTGGGTGTGGAGGGAGACACTGGTGTGTGTGGCTGTGTGGGGTGAGGGGGAGGGAGGCACTGGTGTGTGTGGCTGTGTGGAGTGAGGGGGAGGGAGACACTGGTGTGTGTGGCTGTGTGGGGTGAGGGGGGAGGGAGACACTGGTGTGTGTGGCTGTGTGGGGTGAGGGGGGAGGGAGACACTGGTGTGTGTGGCTGTGTGGAGTGAGGGGGAGGGAGACACTGGTGTGTGTGGCTGTGTGGAGTGGGTGTGCAGGGAGACACTGGTGTGTGTGGCTGTGTGGGGTGAGGGGGGAGGGAGACACTGGTGTGTGTGGCTGTGTGGGGTGGGTGTGGAGGGAGACACTGGTGTGTGTGGCTGTGTGGGGTGAGGGGGGAGGGAGACACTGGTGTGTGTGGCTGTGTGGAGTGGGTGTGCAGGGAGACACTGGTGTGTGTGGCTGTGTGGGGTGAGGGGGGAGGGAGACACTGGTGTGTGTGGCTGTGTGGGGTGGGTGTGGAGGGAGGCACTGGTGTGTGTGGCTGTGTGGGGTGAGTGTGGAGGGAGACACTGGTGTGTGTGGCTGTGTGGGGTGAGGGGGAGGGAGGCACTGGTGTGTGTGGCTGTGTGGAGTGGGTGTGGAGGGAGACACTGGTGTGTGGCTGTGTGGAGTGGGTGTGGAGGGAGACACTGGTGTGTGTGGCTGTGTGGGGTGAGGGGGAGGGAGGCACTGGTGTGTGTGGCTGTGTGGGGTGAGGGGGAGGGAGACACTGGTGTGTGTGGCTGTGTGGGGTGAGGGGGAGGGAGGCACTGGTGTGTGTGGCTGTGTGGGGTGAGGGGGAGGGAGGCACTGGTGTGTGTGGCTGTGTGGAGTGGGTGTGGAGGGAGACACTGGTGTGTGTGGCTGTGTGGAGTGGGTGTGCAGGGAGACACTGGTGTGTGTGGCTGTGTGGAGTGGGTGTGGAGGGAGACACTGGTGTGTGTGGCTGTGTGGAGTGAGGGGGAGGGAGACACTGGTGTGTGTGGCTGTGTGGAGTGAGGGGGAGGGAGACACTGGTGTGTGTGGCTGTGTGGAGTGGGTGTGGAGGGAGGCACTGGTGTGTGTGGCTGTGTGGAGTGAGGGGGAGGGAGACACTGGTGTGTGTGGCTGTGTGGAGTGGGTGTGGAGGGAGACACTGGTGTGTGTGGCTGTGTGGAGTGGGTGTGGAGGGAGACACTGGTGTGTGTGGCTGTGTGGCTGTGTGGCGCTCGCCTGTTTCGGAAGTACTTGACCAAAACGACGGTGACGACAACGGCGATCAGGACTCCACCCACGCTGCACACCACCGCGATGATGATCGTCACCGTCAAATCTAAAAACATTCAACAAGTGTTTGTCAAACAAATGGGGAGCGGTAGGGCATTGGTTATTGCGCTGCGCTATGAACCTGGTGGCCCGAGTTTGATTTCCTTTGACGGCCAACACCGGCGACGATTAGCTGAATTGGTTCTGGGCCTCCCTGAGGTCGACTCAGCCTCAACTAAGTGCCTGGTGCGATGTGTAGACATCGGCACTGGGGAGACAAAGGCAGCCGGGCGTGGTGCTGGCCACCCACCCGCTCGTGTGCCATGCTGACCTTCATAAGTGCTCCTCGCTAACAGCATTTGCCCTAACAGTTTGCTTCAGCTATACGGGGGATATTTGTCTTTGTGTGTCGTCCTGGTTTACAGATTAACATGGGCACTTCACAAATGATCAGTACAAAGTATCATCATCTATGAGCACCTCAGTGGAGACCCATACATCGCAATCTCCTGACTTTGACATGCCTCCTCCTGCTCGAAGACACCGGTGGAACCATCAACCGCATCAGAACATGAACAGGTCGATGCGCAAATCTCCTTCGTGAATTCCACGGTAATGCGGTTGTGGCCATGCAACCCAAACTATGGACCACGTAGTAAACGCATGAAGATATATAGAGACGTATTGAGACAGAGACCCATATAGATCAATAGAGACCTCGAGAGATACAATGAAGACAAGTCACAGTTGTGCGATTGTGGCCATGCAAACAAAACTAACACACTGGTTAGTGCTGTACGAGTGACGAATTGACATGTTCTGTTAATGTGATAAACCTTCCTAATTGGATGTGTCGGGTGGTGGCGTGTTTAACACCACATTTATATATTTACGCGATCTAACAAAAAAAAAACCTGTATTATGGACCACTTTGGTCTGCACTTCTTCAACGGAGGAGGAGGAACAGTAAAATTTCACGAACTCTCTCTCTAAGCAATCTCGTCATGGCAAACGTTGGCATTCAACTCCTGAACTTTTTGCCCTGTGCTCGAATAGAATCGTCATGCACCACCAATATAATCAATTATGAATTAATAATGACACACGCACAATTGTACAGGCAAGATAATATTGGTGCTGTCCACGTGATAAGCCACTTCGTTGAACTATCTTGTGGCCAGGTCATTTCTGAAAAATAAGCTACTAGCTCAGCGGATTTTACCTGGTAAAATACAAGTTTTTTTATTATAATTTGCTTACATTTCCTATACTTTGCACTCCTATCGTGTTTTGTATTGTTTGTTGTTGTAACTTTCTTACCCGCCCCTACTGGACATCTGTGAAAAAAGAGCTGTATTGCGCATCGGATTCCTCCAGGATGAACAAATATTTCAGATTCTGATGAGTGCCAAGTTAAAATCGAGGTGGTTGTTTTGTGGCCTTACCTTTGGTTTCACATCGGTCTCCAGTGTAGGAGTCGGGGCAGCGACAGTGAATTTGTCCACCTACTTCTGTGCAGCTTCCCCCGTTCAAGCATGGGTTCCCAGCAGCACACAGATCACCTGGTCAGCAGAGACGCGCACACACCAGATACACGGCCTCAACGCGTGGGGATTTTTTGAAGCGCGCGTAAACCCTAAAACCCTAAAACCCTACCCAGCCCATCGTTGCGGAGAAAAATAAATCGCAAAGTAAATATGCAGACGGGCGACACGCCTCCCATCACACATCAGTGCCTCCACGTACAAAACACGTATTTTTTATGCATCTCATTAGCCACGCGAGGGCCTTCTCTGGGTGCATAATATCGGTGGCATTGGTTCAACACAAGCAAATTCTGGCACCGGTTATAGACCTAAGTGTTTCACGAGCGTCTGACCTGTGAACCCCTGTGGCCTACGAGGGCCGTTCCACAGCTCTTGTTTAATTACGTCACTCCCCCCACCCACCTCCCCCTCCCCTTACCCTGCTTGTTTTGGCAAACCATACCTGGGCTCATTGTGCTCTCGCAACGGTCGCCTGTGAATGGGGGGGGACACTGGCACGTGACCTGCTGTCCACTCAACGATGAGCAGGAGCCTCCATTCTCACAGGTTACGTGAGCGCACGGATCATCTGCAAGGAAACCATCGTCGGACATCAACAACAACCTCTTCTCGCAAAGCTGTGGAACTTTAAAACCTCCCCACCCCACCGGAGGAGCGCCGTTATCGACGTGACCGCCGCTGGCACCTTTGCTCAGTCACTGGATGTTGCAATGACGGGTGGCACAGTGTCGACGCGGCGTGGTGGGGCTCGTGTTCACCACCCCCGTGCCCACGTACGCGGCCGGCTGCGGAACGAACGCCGCCAGTGCTTCCTATTCCAAGGCAAACCGTGGATTCGTGATGCTCACCCGCAAAGCAGCCGATGGTAAAATCGCCAACGGTGCAGAGTTCATTGGCGCCGCAGCTCGTGTCCATGCACTGCACCAAGTTTGCATTCATGCACGTGCAGTTCTTGTTGCAGCCGGATGTGTAAAACGTCTCTCCAGCCTACACACAACACGCGCACACACACAGACAAAGATCCTCCGTTATAACCTTAACAGATTGTTGGATGAGTACTGTTAGCCAACACCTATGAAGGCTGGCATAGCACACGAAGGGGGTGGGTGGCCAGCACCACACCCGGTCGCCTTTGTCTCCTTCGTGGGCGATGTTTTACACGCAACATCAGGTACGCATTTGAGGCCGAGTCGACCTAGGGGAGACCCTGGAGTGGTTCAGATCTTCGTCATCGATGTTTGCTTACAGCAGGAATCGAACTTGGGTCGCTCGGTTCGTAGCACAGTGCGCTAACTGCTACATGTAGCAACAACCACTATTCGCCACTAAGTGACGGTGACATCACAATGGTGCTTGTGCCACGCTAGGTGCACGTTAATGCCACGAAGTGTCGAACGCCCGCTGACAGGTCATGGGACAGACCCAAGTGCTGTGGGTCGACTAACTGAGATGACTGGCTGATGCACCACCTGTGCCCTCTACTCTGCCAACTTGCTGTGCTTTAGCATGCACACACACATGTTGTGATTGGTGCACAAGTGACGACATCCCATTTATCCCTCTATTTAAGACCGAAACAGGAGGATTTCTCTACAACTCTGACTGCCGCCTGATGATGCTGGTCGTAATTACTGGCGAAACGTCACGGTACTCAAATTGTCAATGTTGTGGGTTTTCTCAGCAACACAGCGGTGTGCTGTACTCGTGTAATATTATATTCTTAGGTTTTTTCGGTAAAGTCACGTAGGTAAAACATCAAAATTAATGAAAATAAAATAAAATAAAACAAAAAATCACGACGTTTCGGAGGCAACACAAGTCTCCGTCATCAGGTGGGACCGTCACAGCCGAATTAGCTGCATCAAGTGAGGCAATGATTCAAGATGTAATCCCTTATAAGCAAGTTGAAGGGGGGAGGAGAGGGGGGGGGGGGAGCTCATAAGAATGTTAGTACAACTCATCGGGAGGGGGAGGGGGGGCCAAAAAATTGAACGACGGCTTGGACGCGGTTGCTGCTGCACACGCCAACACAATGGACAGAGAGGGGGAGGGGAGGTCTGATACACATGATAGACAATAGAACGAAAATGCCCATGTTTATACCAATGCTGGCAAACCTTACTAATTGGCTGTGTCGGGGAGTTGCGGGTTTAAATACACATTTATATTTATACGATCTAACCCAAAAAAAATTACTATTACGGATTTCAAGAGCAGCAATGCGATGTGGTGAATACAAGACTGTGGCCCTTCATAATAACGTCACGAAGCAGTTCCATGAAGAGCCGCATGCGAGGCCTGGAGCCACAGGTTGTCGACCCCTGGTCTAGAGAGACTCTTGCCTGCAGATGGGTTGAATGAACCAAGATTGAGTGTTGTTCATGTTGCTGGTAGACCTGGATACATCCCCATTAGAGCTCCCATCCAATTCCACTTCCAAACGCACGACTGGTTGATCGGTTTCCCTTGGATAGCCATGCTTAGAGGATCATCAATCTACTAAAATATGCTATTTAATCCCCACCTCCGATTTAGCACGGTTGGGCAACGTACGCTGCGAAGAAAGCTCAACACGCACACACGTGAGACGCGTTATCATTATTGTTGGAGCGAAGCGAATCGACCGAGCAATGGCGTTACGTTGCGCGCACAAATGGAGACGCCGCGTTCTTCACGTCGGTCGCCACTGGGCCCCCCCCACCCCCGCCCCCCCCCCCCCCCGTCACCTCGCGGTAGGAGTTCTCGTAGAGGCAGCCGCACTGGGTGAAGGGGACGCAGTCGAAGCCGCTCATCACGAACCCGGGCAAGCACTGGCAGCCCTCCACGTCGGGGAGCTCGCAGTTCGAAGAAGCGGCCAAGTCCCCGCAGGTGGACGGGCAGGCGGACATGCGCTCGACGTAGACGCTGTTTGGAGGGCACATCGGTTCTGTGTATGCACACACACACACGCCGGTTCTGTGTATGCACACACACACACGCCGGTTCTGTGTATGCACACACACACACGCCGGTTCCGTGTATGCACACACACACACACACACGCCGGTTCTGTGTATACACACACACACGCCGGTTCCGTGTATGCACACACACACACGCCGGTTCTGTGTATACACACACACACGCCGGTTCTGTGTATACACACACACATGCCGGTTCTGTGTATGCACACACACACACGCCGGTTCTGTGTATGCACACACACACACGCCGGTTCTGTGTATGCACACACACACACACGCCGTTTCTGTGTATGCACACACACACACACGCCGGTTCTGTGTATGCACACACACACACACACCGGTTCTGTGTATACACACACACACGCCGGTTCTGTGTATGCACACACACGCCGGTTCTGTGTATACACACACACACGCCGGTTCCATGTATGCACACACACACACACGCCGGTTCTGTGTATACACACACACGCCGGTTCTGTGTATGCACACACACACACGCCGGTTCTGTGTATACACACACACACACACATGCCGGTTCTGTGTATACACACACACACATGCCGGTTCTGTGTACGCACACACACACGCCGGTTCTGTGTATACACACACACACACGCCGGTTCTGTGTATACACACACACACACGCCGGTTCTGTGTATACACACACATATGCCGGTTCTGTGTATACAAACACACACGCCGGTTCTGTGTATGCACACACACACGCCGGTTCTGTGTATACACACACACACACGCCGGTTCTGTGTACGCACACACACACGCCGGTTCTGTGTATACACACACACACACACGCCGGTTCTGTGTATGTACGCACACACACACGCCGGTTCTATGTATACACACACACGCCGGTTCTGTGTATACACACACACACACATGCCGGTTCTGTGTATACACACACACACACATGCCGGTTCTGTGTATGCACACACACACGCTGGTTCTGTGTATGCACACACACACACGCCGGTTCTGTGTATGCACACACACACACGTCGGTTCCGTGTATGCACACACACACACGCCGGTTCTGTGTATGCACACACACACACGTCGGTTCCGTGTATGCACACACACACACGCCGGTTCTGTGTATACACACACACACACGCCGGTTCTGTGTATGCACACACACACACGCCGGTTCTGTGTATACACACACACACGCCGGTTCTGTGTATGCACACACACACACGCCGGTTCTGTGTATACACACACACACGCCGGTTCTGTGTATACACACACACACGCCGGTTCTGTGTATACACACACACGTCGGTTCTGTGTATGCACACACACGCCGGTTTTGTGTATACACACAGACACGCCGGTTCTGTGTATGCACACACACGCCGGTTCTGTGTATGCACACACACGCCGGTTCTGTGTATACACACAGACACGCCGGTTCTGTGTATGCACACACACGCCGGTTCTGTGTATGCACACACACGCCGGTTCTGTGTATGCACACACACACGTCGGTTCTGTGTATGCACACACACACGCCGGTTCTGTGTATGCACACACACGCCGGTTCTGTGTATACACACACACACACGCCGGTTCTGTGTACGCACACACACACGCCGGTTCTGTGTATACACACACACACACACGCCGGTTCTGTGTATGTACGCACACACACACGCCGGTTCTATGTATACACACACACGCCGGTTCTGTGTATACACACACACACACATGCCGGTTCTGTGTATGCACACACACGCCGGTTCTGTGTATACACACACACACACATGCCGGTTCTGTGTATGCACACACACACGCTGGTTCTGTGTATGCACACACACACACGCCGGTTCTGTGTATGCACACACACACACGTCGGTTCCGTGTATGCACACACACACACGCCGGTTCTGTGTATGCACACACACACACGTCGGTTCCGTGTATGCACACACACACACGCCGGTTCTGTGTATACACACACACACACGCCGGTTCTGTGTATGCACACACACACACGCCGGTTCTGTGTATACACACACACACGCCGGTTCTGTGTATGCACACACACACACGCCGGTTCTGTGTATACACACACACACGCCGGTTCTGTGTATACACACACACACGCCGGTTCTGTGTATACACACACACGTCGGTTCTGTGTATGCACACACACGCCGGTTTTGTGTATACACACAGACACGCCGGTTCTGTGTATGCACACACACGCCGGTTCTGTGTATGCACACACACGCCGGTTCTGTGTATACACACAGACACGCCGGTTCTGTGTATGCACACACACGCCGGTTCTGTGTATGCACACACACACGTCGGTTCTGTGTATGCACACACACACGCCGGTTCTGTGTATGCACACACACGCCGGTTCTGTGTATACACACACACACATGCCGGTTCTGTGTAATAACACAAAGACAAAGATTCCCCCCCCCCACCTTGTAGACTTAACGGAGCTGTTGGGGCAAGTGCCTATGAAGGCCGGCACGGCACACGAAGGGGGTGGATGGCCAGCACCACGCCCAACCGCCTTTGTCTCCCCAGTGGCGATGTTTACACACCGCACCCAAGTACTTATTTGTGGCTGAGTCGACCTAGGGGAGGCCCAGGACCGCTTCAGATAATCCCCACTGGTGTTGGCCGTAAGCAGGAATCGAATTCGGGTCGCCAGGTTCGTAGCGCAGCGCGCTAACCGCTACACCACCGCTCCCCACAACACGTAACAACACACGCACACACGCACACACGTACACACGTAATGACAAGGCAAATGACAGGAGTGCGCACACACAGACACTGCGACACATGCATAACCGATATATTAAGTGTCACACGAGTGGTGATCATGGCAATGATAGTGTTGATTGACCATATTACATGGGAAGTGATAGGGAAAGAGATCGAGAACAAAGGAGAAGGTAGAAGTGGAGAGAGGAAAGGGAGGAAGATGTTGGCATGATGAATGGGGGTGGGGGGAATAGTCAACTGAGTAAGGAATCTATGGAAGGGAAACCAGATGTGTGTGGTGCACGTTAATTACCACTAAAACTATTTAAACTAAAGCATTTATTTTATTTTACCAGGTAAGGCCCACTGAGCTATGTAGCTCTTTTTTCAGAAGTGACCTGGCCACAAATCATAGCTCGATGAAGTAGAGTATAATCACGTGAAAATGTATAACAGCCAAATAGTCGAAACGCCTGATGTTGATTCTAAAAGTGAAGGGAAAAATCGGAGGACTCGTAGAAAAATCCACGCGACCACGAGGAGAGAGACACGCAATCTCTAAATACACAGCAGGCGTCAGGGTCGGGATCGAACCCACGACCCTCCTGTATACCAGGCGAGGTAGTTAATATCTCGCCACCGTGGTGCCTGTAATTGCATCAGAGGTGCCGAGTGACGTCGGTGAGTGAGATCTCACCGCATCCCGTGACATTCCTCCAGCTCCTGGGAGTGATGCTCTGCTGCTGGCAGGCTGCCGCGTAAACCTCCAGGCTGCTGCAGAATGTCTCTCGGTCTCCGATGTTTTCGCACATGTCGTACAAGCAGTTCCTGTGGAAGCACAGCACGCGATGCGACGCGCCATAACCACATCTCCACGTCAATGCGCCCGCTGCATGGAAGGGCCCTTGACCGCGCAGTCACCGGGGTTGTTTGACCGCACTGCGCCACACTGGTCAGCGCGAGTTGGTGAGCTGGGCAGGTGGGGCCCGGGACCGGTTCAGATGTCCGTTTGCCACTCGTGTGAGCTGTGTCCGCGAACTGAAGCGTAAAGTCGCCAGGTTCACCGTGCAGTGCGCTGACCACCTGGGCCACTTGCTCCACTGGCGTCACTTATCTCAAATTTTGAATGGGTACATTTTTGTCGCCAGTTTCTTGACGGCTTGGATTTTAATATCAAGTTTAACTTGGCTCAATTTTAACAATCTTATCAGATAAATTGTTGTTACTAATTCACAACGAGTAAAGATTCGCAAGCTAATTTACCATTCTAAGAGGATAATTTACAATCTTGATTTGAAGCTTTCATGACTGCAGGAATCCATACTCTGGTTCTTTCGGTAAAGTCACGTAAATAGAAAAAAATATTAAAAGAACACGACGTTTTGGTCGCAACACAAGTGTCCGTCATCAGGTGAGAAATAATAATCTGCTGTTGTGGTTTTATATAGGCAAGGGAGGGGGGGAAGGGGTTTTTTGTAGAGTTGTGGCAGCAGGAGTTCACGGGGGAGAGGGGGGAGTGTTTGTGGTGTGCAGGGACGTGTGGGGGCTGGTGAAATTAGCATGTCCACGAGCTTGAATTAGTAAACGAGAACAGCACGGGTGTAAGAGTGAGAATCACAGCAGTTAAAGCTTGACGTGGTTTATCACATCCTTCCAATGATTGCTCAATCTGAATCCAGCTTCTCGATTAAAGTTTTGTCTGTGTTTGTATGTCTGGATGGCTTCATGAACAAATCTGTGATAGTAGCCCGAGGGTTTGCAGAGCACCCTAGTCTCGGAGAAAACAATGTCATGTGTGCCTACAGCGTTGAAACAATGATCCGCCACCGCCAAGGTGTTGGTTCTACCGTGTTTCAAATCCGCTTTGTGTTCGAGAACCCGGTCTGATACATGTCGCTTTGTTTCACCAATGTAACTGCTGCCACAGACACAACTCACCGATGGGATAAAATCACGAATTTAGTGTACTGTAATGAACCGAAATTGGATCTTGTGTTTGTTCAAGATTTTGGAAATCCTTTTGATGACCATTCTCGGATGTTTTGATCGAGAAGAGACCTGATGGCTCGTTGGGACACTCTATCTATAGGAAAGCCACCCACACGGATTCCTATCTAAAGCCTGACTCCCACCACCATCCAGCCCAGAATAAGTCCCTCATCAAAACACTCCATCATAGGGCTCGTTGCATCTCCGACCAGCACCACCTAGCCAGTGAGCTTGAGCACGTACACCAAGCCCTCAAGAAGAATGGACATTCTGACCGCACAATCTGCAAAGCTGCATCCCCAACCATGGGTAGATAACCATCTGAGGACCCAATCAAAACCATCACCTTTCCATACATAGCAGGGGTCACCAAAAGGATTTCCAAAATCTTGAACAAACACAAGATCCAATTTCGGTTCAATACAGTACACCAAATTCGTGATGTTATCCCATCGGTGAGTTGTGTCTGTGGCAGCAGTTACATTGGTGAAACAAAGCGACATGTATCAGACCGGGTTCTCGAACACAAAGCGGATTTGAAACACGGTAGAACCAACACCTTGGCGGTGGCGGATCATTGTTTCAACGCTGTGGGCACACATGACATTGTTTTCTCCGAGACCAAGGTGCTCTGCAAACCCTCGGGCTACCATCACAGATTTGTTCATGAAGCCATCCAGACATACAAACACAGACAAAACTTTAATCGAGAAGCTGGATTCAGATTGAGCAATTATTGGAAGGATGTGATAAACCACGTCAAGTTTTAACTGCTGTGATTTTCACTCTTACACCCGTGCTGTTTTCGTTTACTAATTCAAGCTCATGGACATGCTAATTTCTCCAGCCCCCACCTGTCCCTGCACGCCCCAAACTCTCCCCCCTCTTCCCTGTGAACTCCTGCAGCCACGACTCTACAAAACCCCCCTTGCCCCCCCCCTCCCGTGCCTATATAAAGCCACAACAGCAGATCATTATTTCTCACCTGATGACGGACGCTTGTGTTGCGACCTTTCTATCTACACGACTTTACCGAAAGAACCAGAGAGTAAGGATAATTGACAGTTAAGCTAACTTAAAATTACTGAATTCTAACAATTAAAATTTAACGTCACAACGGCTAAATCGTAATGGCTGAATTATTACCAAAATCTTATAACATATCTGCATTATAATATTTTAACAATTAAAATGAAACGTCGAATTAACCGAAATCTTATGACGTATCTGCATTCTAACAATTTTAATGTAACGGTGACATGATGCCCCCCACCGTAGGAACTTGACGTTCCACGCCAGATCTCGGCGCTCGCTGCGACTTACGTGAAGTAGTGAGCAGGGGGAACCTCGTCGAGGCATTGCCAAAAGGGCCCCTCGGCCTCCTTCATAATCCCACACGCGGTGGCGCCCAGCAGCTCTGCCAGCTGGCCGGCATCGCAGGACAGGTCAGCGAAGTCCTCCTGCATCCAGGAAGGTGCTTCCCTCCTAGGAGAGCCACGCACCCACCCGCGTCAGATCACCGCATACCCCCCTCCCCCCCCGCGGTTTAAGCGTAGAACAACAACAACAACGTGCGATTAACGTTGGCGCCATGGTAGCTATGAGATGTTAACTGCCCCGCCTTGTATACAGGAGGGCGTGGGTTCGATCCCGACCCTGACGCCTGCTGCTGTATATGTGGAGTTTGCATGTCTCTCTCCCTGTGGTCACGTGGATTTTTCTCTGGACCCTCCATTTTTTTCTCCACATTTAGAATCAACATCACGCGTTTAGAGTATTTGGCTGCTGCACATTTTCCACGTGATGATAAGCCACTTTGGGTGAGCTATCGTTTGTGGCCAGGTCGCTTCTGAAAAAGAGCTACATAGCTCAAGTAAGCCTTACCTGGTAAAAATAAAAAAAATAGTTTATAGTTTAGTTAAAGATTGCTAGCAAAAAAACGCAAAGGTGCGATCATTAAGCAGCGCCAGCAATGCTCCTCCGCTTTCGCGCTGCGCACGATTCAACGTCTGTGTGATGGCGTTTGTTTTTGGACACCAGGTGAGCCCAAGAGAATGACGCTTCTCTGCCTGCTGGGAAAATTTAACGTCGAAGTCGCAAGTTAAACCTGAACCTTTCCACAGCGATCGTATTTCTAATCCGACGCTCGCCCAACCAAAAGGCTGAGGGGCCGGGTTTGCAATGGTGCATGAGTACAGTAAACTAAATAATCAAAACATTAATCGTTAACACTCCAATATTTCAATCGCCAGTTTCACACGCGGGCTTTCGCAAGCAATATTATCCAAAACAAAGGGTTTGAGTTAGATCGCGTAAATATAAATGCGTCATTAAACCCGACACCGCCCGACACAGCCAATAGTAAGGTTTGTCACGTAAACAAAACGTGTCAATTAGTTACTAGTTCAGCACACGGGTGTGTTGGAGAGTAACCCGCGATCGAACCCAAAAACCTCTATTATGGATAATATTGGTCGCGAAAGCCTACTACTACTTGTTAAAGTGATTGTTAACACTGCCTTCCAGATGCAAAATAAACAATAAAACTAGAGAAGAAATATGTAAATACCTGTTTATTTCATATTCAACATATAATATACAGGTGGAAAACTTTTCCACGCCAGTTTAAAAATCGTGAAATTGTCAAAAGATGTTTTTTTGTTTTTCCCTGTTGGAAGGCAATGGTATGTGCTGACGATGGTGGTGGTGGTGGTTATGTGTTTAGTGCGCGCTCGCAGCCATTCTACGAGTGCACTGTAGCTCTCACCTGAACACCCTTTGCTCGTTCGACCTCGCAGGAGTGTGGCGAGCGTCGTCGCCAACCCTCCAGCTGTGGCCAAACTCGTCCGTGCTCGCAGCCAGCTGCCCGTCGGGAGTCGCCAAGTCATCGCTGGCGTTTCCGTTGTAATTGCCGCACAGGCCGCACAGCCGGCTCATGTAGGAGCTGGGCATGACCACATCTGCGGTGGATCGCAACCGCCGGGCAGCACACACACGCACACGCGCACAGGGGCGGCGGACACTCGGCAAAAGCGAACGCGTACAGAGACAGCGACGCATTTTGTTTCAAAAACGCAATTTGTTTGTTAGAATTCCCTTTGTGAAGTAGACGCCAATGAACCCTAGTTCCACGTAATTGAGAATGACTCATTGACCGCGTATTATACCCCACTGCCATACTTTGATACCGTAAAAAAAGGTATCCCATGATATAGCTGCTCACCCCGAGCAAGAAATGCTCTGATATACATATTGTCTTTGTGCTGTTCGCCTTTTGCCGTTTTCTGCTCTCACACTGGTGATGCTGAGCCCTAAAGAATGCTGCTGTCTCTGGTGTAGGCCAATCCGTTTAAAAGACAATGAAAATATTATCAGAGCATTTTTGTTTGCATGTTCACCACAAGTACGTGTGGTTAATTCAGACTTGATTCCTTGAAAAAGGTTTCTATTTGGTGTTTGAACATCTTAACACCTCCTGTTTTATTGCCAGAAAGGGTAAAACCTATTATTATATTCTTTGGGTCTTTCGGTAAAGTCACGTAGATAGGTTCCAAAAAATTATAAAATAAACGAAAACCTATATTCTTGGTTCTTTCGGTAAAGTCACGTAGAACGGAAATAATAAAATAATTAAAATATAAAACAAAATTCTCACGACGTTTCGACTGCAACAGTGTTGCAAGCTTGCTTGTATGTTGCAAGCTTGCTTGTGTTGCTTGTGTTGCAAGCTTGCTTGTGTTGCAGTCGAAACGTCGTGAGAATTTTATTGTTCAATATCTGTATTATTTTATTATTTCCCTTCTACATGACTTTACCAAAAGAACCAATAATATGAATCCCTGCAGTCACTAAAGCTTTAAATGAAAAGAGAAAACCTATTATTTTCCCACTTTAATGCATTTGCAAGTTAGGTTTGTTTAAACCATTTTTTAAAAATAACATTGCCGTCATTTATATAAATGACATTAATCGCCTATCCAGTAGTTTTACATCGGTGCATTTGGCAGGTGTTGCTGGTATGCAAATCTCTGGAAGGCCTGCAAAGGTACAGTTCATTTTTACACTGCAGGCTGAAAGAACGCCATAACCACATATACTTCTATTCCCGTGTACAGGTGGTAAAGTTAAATAATAATGTATTTTTATACATACATCACCTTTTATTGAAAGAAATCACTAAGCATTCGATGAGTAAATAAATTAAAACAAGCGACTAAAAAGTGCCGTACAAGACGAGAGGGCGGATTGCATTGCCACCCTTGACCCTCGTGTGTCCGCGAGAGGGTTGGCCCATGGAGCAAAAGAAGTTCAACATCCATTAAAACACAATGACAGGGCCCAAGTGACGGACATGGCTGGGCATGCGGCAAGAAGCCCTGGGGTTGGCCCTCGGAGCAAAGTCTCGTCCTGGGGATTGCAGACAAGACCGGGTGGGGGAATCCCCGCACGACCGCGGGGACTGCGAGATGCAGCGGTGCGGCGCTGAGCCATTTCTTGCCCAGAGCCACCACTCGCATGAAGGGGGGCATTTTGCTGGAGGGAGAGAGGCCTCCTCTTCCACGCTGCTCAGACGTTTTGGGAGAGATTGGGGAGGGGAGGCGGGGTGCCCACATCCCACTGCACGTGACCAAGGTGTACTCCATTATACTGCTGGTTTTCACAGAGGGAGGTGGGGAGGGGATTTGTGAAACTTGCCAATTGTATCAACTGCCACGCCGGGAGATCGTATAGATCGGGTGGCCTCGATACGGTGGTCCCGTGGTGTGTTCACCGTGAAACACCGCTGTAGCCGCTCCCCTCTCACCACCCCCATCCTCTGATGTATCTACTGAATGTTGAACGCAGCGTATGCAGCCAACGGCTCGGCCGGGCAAGAGTGTAAATCGCCTAAACCCAGGTGGCCGTGCAGCCCCCGCACCTGCGTGCTCCTTGCGGTCAAAGGTCACGGTGAGGCCGGAGTCGGTCCTGAGGATGAACTTGTGAGAGGACTGCTGGATGTGCAGTCCTTCCGCGGGGGTCGCCGGCGGCTTCATCCTCACGCCGTCCACCTGCCGGTCAGCCGCCAAACATCCACACGTGCGCGTGTCCCATTGTGAAGCCGTGCGAACGATCCGTTTTTTTTAACCCACCGCTGGATTAAGGTCTCCCCACACACACAGCGTTGGGCCACCGCTCGCCCCACGGCATGGTACGGATGGCAATGAACGTAAAAGTCTTCAGCGCACAGCATTCGGATTAAGTTATTAATTTCCCCTGATGCGAGGTGCCGCACGCTGGGAGGGGATCGGCGCGCATGGAGTTGCCTCCGTTCCCCCGGGGATGGACGGGAGTTAATTACCGCCCTACGGGACTGTGACAGGTTGACAAGTTCACCAAGCACGTGTGAGTAATCCTTCCAAATTTATTCTCTCCTCTAAGTGCTCCTCCCTTTCCATCTATAAAAAGAGCTTCATAGCACATCCAATTCCTCCAGTATAAATACATATTTAGATTCTGATTCCCTTTTACATTCTCCTCTACCAGCTCCCCCCACTCCCTCCACTCCCTTTCTTAAGTCCTTTATCCCTCTCCTTCCCCGTCTCATAAAAGAGTACAATACGCACCCCGCTCTCGCGGTCACCACTCGGTAGGGCAGCAGCGAGCACAATCTCCCACCTTCCTCTAAATTCAGTAGCACAGCGTTCGGGGACTGCGGAGTTTCTGTAACCCCCCACTCACCCCCCCCCCCCAACCACGTCACGGTTTATGCTGTGTACTGGGGCTCCTTATTGGAAAAAAAATTATAACTGATTTCCCCAAGATGGAGTAGCAGGTGGGACCCCCTCCCTCCTCCTCCTCCCCCACCCCCTCCTCGTCCCCATCCTCCCTTCTTCTCCTCCCCATCCTCCCTTCTTCTCCCCACCCCCCTCCTCCCCACCCACCCCCCTTCTCCTCCCCCTCCTCACCTCCCCTCCTCCTCCCCCCTCCTCGTCACCTGGAAGTCGTTCCTCTTGGTGAAGCGGACCTCGTGTCCCAGCACGAAGACGCGCACCTCGGCCAGGTACGACACCGCCTGGTTCCCGCGCCGCTCGTTGCGCCCGTGCACGCGCACCGGCGCCAGGCCCCCGTCGTCCCCGCCGCAACTCTGCGCCAGCACGTACGTCTCCTCGCCCATGAAGTGGTAGAGGCGCCCGTCGAACGACTGGTAGTGGGGGTCTCCGGAGACTGTGCACGTCCCGTAGCCTGGGCCACGCGCGCACGCACGGAGCAGCGTGCAGGGGTCGCTTTTTTACCACTAGTTTCGTGGAGCCTGTCTCCGCAAGGCAAAAGTTTTCTATGAATATAATAATTAACCTGATATGATATTTTTTTACAATTTGTATCTACGATCCAAACAGTTGTATTTTTCCGCGAAAAAATACAATTTGACTTGATTCAACTTGTTATATTTAAAGACTTCCCCATCGGAAACCGCTCAATGTTAAGATTCCATGTTTTTTTTAGAAAGAACTCAAATTAATGGGGAGGTGTATCAAGAGCCGGCACTTCGTGCTCGAGTGCCGTGGTCCACGCAGGAGCGGGCTAAACCCGCCGCCCACTGCGTCGGGAGCGGCTCTTCTCTTCATTGTTGAACCACCTCGTTCGTTGTTTTTTCCCCTGTGTTTGTACAGTTTTTTATTATTTCATTTAGCTTGAATGCATTGGGGAGCGATATTAATCAGTGAATCGGTGCATTGCTACATGCACGGAAGCTACCATACCTCGGAGGGTTGTGAAGAACTCAACACATTCGTCAATAACAAAAACAACAAAGAAAGACCTAGAAGAGCACCTGAGAACAACAAACTTTGACTCAAAGCGACATGAACATCTGGCCATCCCATCAGATATCCCACCCATTGAACCCCCGGAACATCAAATTGAGACCAGCCCTCCGACATGGAAAGAGGTGGAAAACACAGTTCGAAGGGCAAGAACAGCATCAGCCCCGGGGCCAAATGGAGTCCCGTACAAAGTGTATAAGAACGCACCAGACGTCCTGAGTTTCCTCTGGAGGCTTATGAGAACAGCTTGGCAAAAGAAGATAATACCCAAAGTGTGGCGTAGGGCAGGCGGGGTCCTGATCCCTAAGGAGAAGGATGCAGTGAACATCAGCCAATTCCGCCCAATCTCCTTACTGAATGTCGAGGGTAAAATCTTCTTTAGGATCATTGCCCAGAGGATGGCCGAGTACCTGCAAAGGAATGCGTACGTCGATACATCTGTACAGAAGGCAGGAATATCAGGGTTCTCTGGCTGCTTGGAACATTCCAGCATGATCTGGCACCAGATCCAAATGGCCAAGGTGGAGAAAAGGGACCTCCATGTAGTCTTCCTCGACCTCGCCAATGCATTTGGCTCTGTGCCCCATGAACTCCTGTGGTCTGCCTTCAGATTTTTCCACATACCGGACACCATCACAACCCTGGTGAAGTCGTACTTTCAGGATCTGCAGTTCTGCTTCACCACCTCAGAGTTCACCACCTCATGGCAATGCCTGAATGTAGGTATAATGGCGGGATGTACCATTTCTCCATTGGCATTCATAATGGCAATGGAGGTTATCATCAGATCCTCAAAATGGGTTGCTGGTGGACAGCGAGTCAGAGCCTACATGGACGACATTACAACATTGACCACCACTGTCCCATGCACCAGGAGACTGCTCAGAAAACTCGAGGAGAACATCAGCTGGGCCCGTATGAAGATTAAACCATCCAAGTCACGCAGCATCTCGATTGTGAAGGGAGTACTCTGTGACCTGAAATTCTTCATCGGAGATGACCAAATCCCAACAGTGTCTGAGCAGCCGGTAAAAAGCCTTGGGAGGTGGTATGATGCAAGCCTGAAGGACAAAGACCAGGTGCAACAGCTGCGCAAAGACATCAGTAGTAGCCTACAGTCCATCGACAACACCCAGCTACCTGGAAAGTTAAAGGCCTGGTGTCTGCAGTTTGGTCTCCTACCCCGGGTGTTGTGGCCCCTAGCAGTGTATGAGGTTCCAATCTCAACAGTGGAGAAGATGGAAAGAGGAGCCACGAGCTACTTAAAGAAGTGGCTCGGAGTTCCACGATGCCTTACCACCATAGGCCTCTATGGAGATGGTGTCCTCAAGCTGCCCCTCACCAGTCTAACCGAGGAATTCAAGTGTGCAAAAACCAGGCTCCAGATGACACTGAATGAATCTCGAGACCCAGTGGTGAGCAACAACGCGCCGACCTTGGCAACTGGGCGCAAATGGAGGCCAGGAAAAGCAGTCCAGGAGGCAACAGCAGCCCTCAGACATGCTGACATTGTGGGTCATGTTCAGCAAGGGAGAGGAGGCCTTGAGCTAACTAGCCGTGCTGCTTAGAGTAAGGCCACTGCACCAGAGCGGCGGAAGATGGTAGTGCAGGAAGTACGCCATCAGGAGGAGGCTGCAAGGTGGGCCAAGGCAGTCTCTCTTGCCAAACAAGGACAGTGGACTCGATGGGACAGTGTGGAGAAGAGGAAGATCAGCTGGAAGGATCTGTGGGCCACGGAAGCGAGGCAGTTGAGCTTCTCCATCAGAGCAACATATGACATCCTTCCAACACCAGTTAATCTTCACCAATGGTATGGTGAAGATCCGGACTGTGCCCTCTGTTCCATGCCAGCCAACCTCAGGCACATTCTCACAGGGTGTAAAACAAGCCTCACCCAAGGACGCTACACTTGGCGTCACAACCAAGTCCTTAAAAACCTTGCGTCCGCCCTGGAGGACAAGCGAGCTGCCACCAACTCCCTACCACCCCCAGCAGCATCACACCCCTTACGGACGACCTTTGTCCGCGAAGGGGCTAAACCACCGAAGAGCGGCTCTACACCAATAGAGCGAGACCAGCTGCGCTTGGCCCGCGACTGGAAAATGCTAGCTGACATTGGCCGGCAACTTGTGTTTCCTCCGGAGATCGCAACCACCACCCTAAGACCTGACGTGGTGCTCTGGTCCCGTTCGCTCAAGAAGGTCTTCATCATTGAGCTCACAGTACCCTGGGAGGACTCAGTAGATGAGGCTTATGAGCGAAAACATCTGCGCTATGCCGATCTAGCTGCCGAAGCACGGCATCATGGCTGGAACACAGAAGTCCGACCAGTGGAGGTGGGCTGCAGAGGTTTTGTGGCAACATCTACAACCAGACTGCTTAGAGACCTGGGAATTAAGGGCCAGAGCCAGCGTTCGGCAATCAAAGCTGTATCGGAGGCGGCAGAAGGCAGCAGTCAGTGGCTCTGGATGAAGAGGAAAGACCCCAGCTGGGCCCCAAAGTGAGAGGGCCAGGAGGTATGCAGTCAACAATGCTTGACTCAGGGAGGAGGACGCCCCTGCCATGCATAGTCCCATGGGATGTTGGCTACCAACAACAAGGCAACTCCTATGACTAATTGGGAATGGGACGCAAGCGTAGGATTGATCACCCTGTCGCTGGCCGCCTTTGGGGAGGGTGTATAGTATGAAAGGCCGAAACACCCTAGGAACCAAAGCGTCACTACTGACGATGCGCTCCCCAAATTTCACCAGGCTCACTGTTCATGAACTCTTGGAAGTGCCTGCACAAAGGATAGTAACATCTCATCCTGTGTTCTTTGGAATCCCTGGCCATTGTATAGAAGGCATTAATTCATTCATTCATTCCACGTGATTGCGCATTCATGAATCTGCTCCGTAGCGTAAACGGTCGTCCGTAAAAACCCAGGCACGTCGCAGCGCCATTGTATTGTACCGCAAACGAACGAGCGCCCCGCTGCAGACTCACCGATCGGTTTGCAGATGTAATTCCCATCCTTGAGCTCGCAGGTTTCGCCCATGGTGCAGCCGTGCGTAGAGCACCGCACCGCGCCCAACGCCTCGCACGTGCAGCTCGCGCCGCAGTCGTCCGTGAGCCACGACTCCCCGAACTGTGGTGCACAGAGACCACGGCTTAGCCCACACTCACCACTCAGCTCACACTCACCACTCACTCAGCTCCCACTCGCACTCACTCAGCTCACACTCACCACTCACTCAGCTCCCACTCGCACTCACTCAGCTCACACTCACCACTCACTCAGCTCACACTCGCCACTCACTCAGCCCACACTCACCACTCACTCAGCTCACACTCACCACTCACTCAGCTCACACTCACCACTCACTCAGCTCCCACTCGCCACTCACTCAGCCCACACTCACCACTCACTCAGCTCCCACTCGCACTCACTCAGCTCACACTCACCACTCACTCAGCTCACACTCGCACTCACTCAGCTCACACTCACCACTCACTCAGCTCACACTCGCCACTCACTCAGCTCACACTCACCACTCACTCAGCTCACAGTCGCCACTCACTCAGCCCACACTCACCACTCACTCAGCTCCCACTCGCCACTCACTCAGCCCACACTCGCCACTCACTCAGCTCACACTCGCACTCACTCAGCTCCCACTCGCCACTCACTCAGCTCACACTTGCCACTCACTCAGCTCACACTCGCCACTCACTCAGCTCACTCACCACTCACTCAGCTCACACTCGCACTCACTCGGCTCACACTTGCAACTCACTCAGCTCACACTCGCCACTCACTCAACCCACACTTGCCACTCACTCAGCTCACACTCGCCACTCACTCAGCTCACACTCACCACTCACTCAGCTCACACTCACCACTCACTCAGCCCACACTCGCCACACACTCAACCCACACTCGCCACGCACTCAACCCACACTCACCACTCACTCAACCCACACTCGCCACTCACTCAGCTCACACTCGCCATTCACTCAGCTAACACTCGCCACTCACTCAGCTCACACTCGCCACTCACTCAGCTCACACTCGCCACTCACTCAGCTCACACTCGCCACTCACTCAGCTCACACTCGCACTCACTCAGCTCACACTCACCACTCACTCAGCTCACACTCGCCACTCACTCAGCCCACACTCACCACTCACTCAGCTCCCACTCGCCACTCACTCAGCCCACACTCGCCACTCACTCAGCCCACACTCGCACTCACTCAGCTCCCACTCGCCACTCACTCAGCTCACACTTGCCACTCACTCAGCTCACACTCGCCACTCACTCAGCTCACTCACCACTCACTCAGCTCACACTCGCACTCACTCGGCTCACACTTGCAACTCACTCAGCTCACACTCGCCACTCACTCAACCCACACTCGCCACTCACTCAGCTCACAATCACCACTCACTCAGCCCACACTCGCCACTCACTCAGCTCACACTCGCCACTCACTCAGCCCACACTCGCCACGCACTCAACCCACACTCACCACTCACTCAGCCCACACTCGCCACTCACTCAGCTCACTCACCACTCACTCAGCTCACACTCGCACTCACTCGGCTCACACTCGCCACTCACTCAGCTCACACTCGCCACTCACTCAGCCCACACTCGCCACTCACTCAGCTCACAATCACCACTCACTCAGCCCACACTCGCCACTCACTCAGCTCACACTCGCCACTCACTCAGCTCACACTCGCCACTCACTCAGCCCACACTCGCCACGCACTCAACCCACACTCACCACTCACTCAGCCCACACTCGCCACTCACTCAGCTCACACTCGCCACTCACTCAGCCCACACTCGCCACTCACTCAGCTCACACTCACCACTCACTCAGCCCACACTCGCCACTCACTCAGCTCACACTCACCACTCACTCAGCTCACACTCGCACTCACTCAGCTCACACTCGCCACTCACTCAGCTCACACTCGCCACTCACTCAGCTCAACTCACTCACTCGCTCACACTTGCCACTCACTCAACCCACACTCGCCACTCACTCAGCTCACACTCGCCACTCACTCAGCTCACACTCGCCACTCACTCAACCCACACTCGCCACTCACTCAGCTCACACTCGCCACTCACTCAGCTCACACTCGCACTCACTCAGCCCACACTCGCCACGCACTCAGCTCACACTCACCACTCACTCAGCCCACACTCGCCACTCACTCAGCCCACACTCACCACTCATTCAGCTCACACTCGCCACTCACTCAGCCCACACTCGCCACTCACTCAGCTCACACTCGCCACTCACTCAGCCCACACTCGCCACTCACTCAGCCCACACTTACCACTCACTCAGCTCACACTCACCACTCACTCAGCCCACACTCGCCACTCACTCAGCTCACACTCACCACTCACTCAGCTCACACTCGCACTCACTCAGCTCACACTCGCCACTCACTCAGCTCACACTCGCCACTCACTCAGCTCACACTCGCCACTCACTCAGCTCACACTTGCCACTCACTCAACCCACACTCGCCACTCACTCAGCTCACACTCGCCACTCACTCAGCTCACACTCGCCACTCACTCAACCCACACTCGCCACTCACTCAGCTCACACTCGCCACTCACTCAGCTCACACTCGCACTCACTCAGCCCACACTCGCCACGCACTCAGCTCACACTCACCACTCACTCAGCCCACACTCGCCACTCACTCAGCCCACACTCACCACTCATTCAGCTCACACTCGCCACTCACTCAACCCACACTCGCCACTCACTCAGCCCACACTCACCACTCACTCAGCCCACACTCGCCACTCACTCAGCTCACACTCGCCACTCACTCAGCCCACACTCGCCACTCACTCAGCTCACACTCGCCACTCACTCAGCCCACACTCACCACTCACTCAGCCCACACTTACCACTCACTCAGCCCACACTCACCACTCACTCAGCTCACACTCGCACTCACTCAGCTCACACTCGCCACTCACTCAGCTCACACTCGCCACTCACTCAGCCCACACTCACCATGGTCGATCTACTGCTAGACAAAGGCCTCACCAAGCCACCAACCACTTCTCTCATGACAACAACAATAATAATAATGATCACAGTTTATAACCCCGGGCTTTCCGCTCATTGGAGGACACTGTCTTCAAATGAGCCTGCTTGAAACAGCCCCATGATCCACAGCATGGGTGCCCTCCTCTGCAAAACGCTGGCCAGCTGCGTTCACGGTAGTGTCTTCCCAACAAGTCGGGACGTGCGGAGTGGACTATGTGGACTGCGTGGATCACGTGGACCACGTGGATCACGCGGACCGAGCAGCCTCACTACGCACCGAGTGGTAGTTGTTTTCGTCGTCCCGGCAGCCGCAGGCTTCCAGCGACACGCAGAGATCGTCACTAAGCACAAAGCCCTGGTCGCAGACGCAGCCCTCGGAGCACCGAGCCGCGCTCTGGCAGCCGGCTACGGCGTCGATATCCGAGCAAGTGGCCGGGCAGGGCGAGGCACACTGCGTGTAGTGGGTGTTCGGCGGGCACGACGGCGCTGTGAGACGAAGGGACAGAACCTCCGATTAGCACGTTCGGGAAACGTACGGTGCGAAAGAAGTTCAAAGCGCATCAGATATCTCCAGGATAAATAAAGATTCCGATTTACGACTTAACACCCTACTCATTAGATCCTGAACGCAACTATTTGGCAAGATATCGGGCACATACATTCACCAAACAACGAACCACACACTCTCGCCCTTTAGATTTTAACTCGCGACCTTCCGATTGCGAGCCGCTCTCTCTACCGCTGAGCCGCTCGGTTCACCGTACATACGTGGAATCATGCACTCGCCACAAGCTAAACTAAACTATTTAACTATTATACTCTTTGGTTCTTTTGGTAAAGTCACGTAGATAGGAACATATTTAATAGATCACGACGTTTCAATCGCAACAACAAGCAATCGTCTTCAGGTGAGAGATAGAAGCATGCCGTTGTGACGAGGCATTATATAGATCCGAGAGGGGGGATGGAGGGGAGGCCGTAATGGGCGAGAGGGTGGGGGTGAAATTCAATATACTTCACTTTTTTATTTTACCAGGGAAGGTCCATTGAGCTGTATAGCCATTCTTTCAGAAGCGACCTGGCACCACAAATGATAGCTCAACGAAGTGGCTTATCATGTAGAAATGTATACCGGCAGCTCAATACTCTAAACGCGTAATATTGATTCTAACTGTGCTGGGGAAAAACCAGAGGATCTAGAGAAAAATTCAGGCAACCACGGGGAGAGAGAGACAGATGCCAACTCCAAATATACAGCAGGCATCGTCAGGGGTCGGGATCGAACCCACGAACTCCTTCATACCAGGCGAGGCTGTTAACACCTCCTAAACCATGAATCACACAGACTCACGGCAGAAGGTTTCGTTGCGCCACAGGACGTCGATGTTCTCGGCGCGGCAGGCCTCCGCGTAGGCCTGCAGGATGTGGCACAGCGTGCTCTCCATGCCGCCGTACTGACACACGTCGAAGACGCACGACTGGAAGAAGATGGCCGGATCGACGACGTCGTGGCAGCTGGCAAAGGGTCCAGAGGAGGAGACGATGATTTTGCACATCCTCCCGTAGAGTTCCTCGTCGGCTGCATCGCATCCGTCAGGAGTTGCGGCCGGCTGGCACCTGCGATGGGAGGATTGAAAATCCACAAAGAGGCGATGCTACAGGTCAATTGGACAGGCGTTGGTTGTACAGTGTGACCGCCTTGGCGGATTCTGATATCACCGTGCCGCGTACAATGCACACTCACACAACCGTCAAGTCATGGCGAAGCTTTGGAGCCAGCGGGCAGATTGAAAAAGGGCTGTAAATTATTTCATATTTTTTCAAACGATCTTCCTAACAAGGTCCATGTCTAGTTACTATGAATTTTCAACGCACGCCTCTGATCTCATCTATAGCTCCCTGTGAGTTGAGACAAGGAAAATGACCCACGGGATTTAATCCTGGTTGCAAAGATGCTTTTTTGTGTTTGGTTTCTTGTCCTTCACCGCACGAGAGAACAGCCCGCGGAAGGGACTAGCATAGAACTACTTTTGAGATCCCTTCAAGATGACCTTAGATTAATTATCATAGCTGGAATTGAGAAAAAATTACGTGACATCAGATTTAACGTGAGGTTTTTTCATGCCGTTATTGGCGACTGGGTTGAGACACTCAAAGTGGAATTCAAACCCGGAACTCAGAAGTTCCCAACTCGGCGATGTGACCCTTGGGTCAACAGACCACCTGAGTTAACCTGGGAGAATCTCGGGACAAGTTCTGAAACGAATCGCTGACATTAGCCGTGGCAAACATAGAATGGCTAGCGAAGTTGAATATTCCTGATGTGGTCTGTATTTTAGCAGGGATGGCTACGTACGGCACGAAAGAAGTTCAACAAAGATCAGGTTTTAGCTGGGCAAAAACCCCGGGGCCGGCTCCAGGACACGCTGGTGGGACTACATCGCTCGGCTGGCCTGGGAACGCCTGCGAATTCCCCAGGAAGAGCTAGTCTGTGTATAGTAGTGTAAAGTCTATAGTAGTGTTTAGTGCAGTAGTGTAGTGTATAGCAGTGTAGTAGTGTATAGAAGTGTATAGTGTAGTGTATAGTAGTGCAGTAAATAGTAGTGTAGTAGTGTATAGTTTTTAGTAGTGGAAACTAGAGTTTATCGCCAGAACGAACAAACCATCTCCATGGATGCTCTCCAGAAAGAGGGGCCTGCTAAATCACGCCAGCCTACATTCCACTCCTACAGATGACTAGCGTTCTCATAACGAGATCCAACGAAAAAATTGCCTCATTAACTGACGCTATTCAAAGAGAGGCCTAAACAAGGATGTCCTTATAACAACAGAAACACCCCCATCTCTATGAAGGACATTCCGGTGGTTAAACAGAGCCATCTGTTTAAACCTGGCACTACTCAGCTTCTATATGATCAGTGGCGCTGCCAGAACGGATACTGCAGGTGGCTAGGAGATGTTAACTACCTCGCAATGTATGTAGGAGGTCATCAGTTCGATCCCAACCCCAAAGCTTGTATATTTGGACTTTGCGGTGTCTCTCCCCCAGTGGTTGTGTGGATTTATCTCCACGTCCTCTGGTTTTTCCCTCCATATTTAGACACAACATCACGCGTTCAGAGTTATTTGGCTGCTGATAGAAATTTCCACAATGATGATGACGATAAGCTACTTCGTTGAGCTATCATTTGTGATGGCCCAGATTGTTTCTGAAAAAGAGATACGTAGCTCCGTGGAGACCTTACCTGGTAAAATAAAAATTAAATAATAATCGCACTTAGCTTTTATTGGATCTATTGCGAAGTGTGGTCCTGGAAAATAACTTTTCTTGATGTGCCTGCTCATATTGGGCTCATCTGCCCACGGGTGTTGCTGCTGTTCACCAAACGTAGCCCCAATGATCAGTTTTATCGTTTGGATTACAGATTGACATTTTTAATAAACGGAATCAATTTTGCTTTAATTCCATTCTAAAAATGACAGGCATTGAAGAAGCCGCCACTGCATCATTTTCCAGCCCAGGTTGCTCAGCTGTAGAGCGAGCGGCTTGCAATCAGAAGGGTCGTGGGTTAAATCAGCCCATCATCCGTTCGGGTCATTAAAATAAATTCTGCTTGGTGGGGAAGTCAAGAGTAGCAGCCCTATGGATAGATAGACTCGTCCCCGCCACAATAAATGGGTAACTTTCGGAGCCGAGAAACAGGAGGTCGCCACCTCGATGCTCACTCGGAGCGCGAAGTCGCTCTCGACAATCGTCCGTGCAACGAGGCCACAATTCTGCACCCCCCGGCTCCCTCTCACCCGGCGTCCGTGTCGCCCACTGCCCTCCAGCTGTCGCCGAGCAGCGCGGTGCTGGGCGCCGGTTCCCCGTTGGGCATCAGGTCGTCGTCGTCGAGATTCCCGTTGTAATTGCCGCACATGCCACAGACCTGCGGGGAGAAAAAGGGCTCAGGTCAAGAAGTCGCAGCTCAGGTTCACGCCGCGGTGCGTCTAGTTCGTTGACCTTCCCCCCCCCGTCCCCCGGCGGCGCCTCCGATTAGCACGGTTGGCTACGTACGGGGGTGCGAAAGAAGTTCAACGTACATCTCCTCCAATAGATTTCCAGTTGATTATCGATTATCCGGCGGCTTCGGTGGGAGTGCTGGATTTTTAACAACGCTGGATAATCACTACATGATTGTTACTTAAAATAGCGTATTAATTCCGCATTTTTGTAAGACATGTTATTGGTTGTTTTTCTTTGTGTTTTAAATTTGTTTACGGTGTGAAATTGGCATAAACAAACGTACAAATATTAAAAAATAAATATGCAACTTTAAAAAGTTACCGTATTTAATATACCGTGATTACCGCTCCAATCTCGAAGACTCTGCATGGGGTTATGTAAATATACGTGCAGTGTTTTCATTATTTAAGTTGTATGTAGTGTATAATGTACTGTATATAATATTTAACACTGAAAAAAAACCACGGTGCCGATCGCCGGACTGGTTACAGCCTTTGCAACGGTTTTGCCGGTTTCCCCGGATCAGCCCGGGACTGCCGGATAATGTTGGAAGCCGGATAATCGATGACCAACTGTACACCTGTACTGAATGTGTGAGTGGGTGGCGGATTTGTAAACAGTGAAGCACAGGCGTTGCCCAGCACCTTGCGGGAGTAAGTGCTCGGTATGGAAATCGCAAGGTGATGAACGCCGTCAAATTTGACCTCCAGCCCAAAGTCCGTCACGACGAGCACGTAGCTCCCTTGCATGCCGATCTGCACCCCGGGCACCGCACCAATGATCGGGGTCTTGGTTCGCTTCCCGTTGATCTAGAAAAGAGGCGAGAAAAACCCCCAGCGGCGTGACTCGTGTTCCAGCGCGGAGTGCAATGTCACAGCGAAGGTCATTAAAATACACGAACGTGTCTGCAATCGTCGGTGTCATTACATTTCTGCGAGATGCAATTTTCTTTTTTTCTGGTTTTTGTACCTGTGAATGTGGATTGGTGGCTTTGGGCTTTGCTGAAGTGAAGCGAACAATTATCACGTCTATCTATGTGGACCTTTTTGGCAGTATCAATACATTATGAAAAAGATAACAGGTTTTACCCTTTGATGGCAATAAAACAGGAGCTGTGTTAAGATACAAGGCATCAAGTCTGCATTAACCACACATTCGTGTAGCAAAACACGCAAATAAACATGTTTGTTTGCATCGGAACGCGCGAGCGGCTCAGCGTAGATTTTATTCTACTCACCGCAGAGAACCGTAGCGACACGACCGCACTCTACGATATCTGGCACCAAACTGTGTCACAGGCCCTCCCGCGTGGCCTTGTGGGGATGGGGGGGAGCCTCGGTTACATCTTTTCCTTCTGACTACGTTCCGATGACGTACGCGTATGCCACCGGAACGGAATCAGAAGGCGGAGCGGATGGCGTACGCGTACGTCAGGGTTAAGATTAGCTACTGTCCACGCTGGTCTCTTTCTCTCTCCCATTGGTTTCCCCGTCTCCCCTCGGCACCGTTCCTGTTGCCCGTCGTTCTCATTCAGAATGCCTCAGCCAGCAGTGCATCGACCCCCGCCTAGAGAGGGGTGACCGCGGAAGGTGACGTCGCTGAGCTACCGCCGAGGGCCGCCTTTCATCCCGCACGAGGGCGCGAACAGTTTAGAACGATTGTCCCTCGGCTGTGAGAGGTGGGGGTGGGTTAGAGAAACGTGAACCATCCCCCCCTGGTCCCCCACCGCGTGTGTGGTCCCCACCCGGGTGGGGCCGGTGAGCACCCCCCCCCATAATCACGAAGGCCTTGCCGTGCCCAACTCGGGGCCACTGCTGCTGCTGCTCACGGAATGTTTGTCTCCACCACCCGCACCACCCCCATCACTGACTACGTTCCGGCGCTTCTGTACTGGGCTCGCGTTGAGTTGTAATACATTTGTAATAAAGGACTCGACCACGAAGTCTGGCTTGGTGTCCTTTATTCGGTTCTTCCTCGTAACCCACACGGCTGTCCTTCTATAAGACTTCTATACCGACACTGATACTGCTGTTAACCCCGTCACGCCAACAGTTCCTCTGTTGGTCTCCCGTTGTTCTCGTAGCCTTGCTGGCTGTTACCCTCACGCAGCCCCCACTGGCTGCTCTCCTGCAGTTTCTCCTCTCGTCGTTCTCGCAGCCTCTCTCTCCTCTCGTCGCTCTCGTAGCCTCTCCCACACACACAGCCTCGCCGGCTGTGTTCACTGCAGCTCCTCGACCGCCTTCTCTCCAGCAGCCCCACCGCTGTCTTCTCTCGCAGCTCCGCTGGCTGCTCCCTTAGCTGGCCACCGCTGGCCGCCCGTGCCACTCCTCCTGGCTTCGCCCAACGTGGCCTTACTCTGGTCCAGTCTCACTCTCTCTCCCCTCCTCTTCCGGTCTCATCTCTTAAGAACCTTAACCTTGCTCCCACGTCACCTAACTCCACCTCTCCGTGACGTCACATCCGGGAGGTCGCCCGCGCCCGCATTACACCACCCTCCCCCGTGGAGAAAAACCCAGCCGACCTCGGCTGAACAACACCAACAGTAATGCGGGCGAAACCGACCCTGACACACCAAAGGACACCAAGCATGCAATATAACAGTAGGAACAATCAACACAACATAATAATCAAGTAACGTAGCAGAAGCAGGCAATAAATACACAGTAAGAGCAATAATGCAACGGAACAATCAACGAAACACAAGGGATTTAGAACGTGTGCGGGTCGCCGGCCCGTCCCGGACGGTCGGCGGCCCACCCGCGGAACGGGAACGTAATGGAGTTTGAGGAGCGACAGGGTGAAATCCCCCTGTCGCTGTTGGAAGTCCACCAACGTCCCGTGTCCCTGAAGGATCAGTCTCGGGCGTGTCCCGCGGATGTGTCTGCAGCGGGGTCGGAAGGGCTGCAGGGCTCGAAGTTCCCGCAGATCTGGCAGGCACCCTCCGAGCAGGGCGCCTCGTCCCCTCTGGTGTCAAGGCCGGCCTGCCTGGAACAGGTATGACAGGCGCTCTAGCAAGATCAATGGACGCAGGCGGGGGAGAGTCGGCAGCAACAGACCCCGGCAAGGCAACATTGGGAGATGAAGCATCATGTAGGGGAGCAACATACGGTTTCAAGCGCGACGTGTGAACAAACCAGCGGCGAGAACCAATCTGAACACGCGCCGACTGAGGGTTAGGAACCTCAATGAGGCGGACGGGCCCTTGCCAAGGTTTGTGAAATTTGGGAGAGGTACCCGGCCGCACCTGCGGGCAATGGAGCCAGGCCAGGTCCCCAACCTTCCAGGGGCATTCCCCCTTGGAACGCCGTGCATACCTCTCATTCCGGGCTTGAGCTTTGGCCGTAGCCACACGGGCACTCTCCCGCGCCTCCGAGACCCGGCGAACAGTGTCCCGAATGTAATCAGGAAGTGGTTTACAAGGTCCCCTTACACCGGTTCCCATCTGCACATCCATCGGCGGCACGTTTTCCCGACCATACATAAGGTAAAACGGCGAATAACCCGTAGCCGCATGAGGAGTCATCCTGTACGCCGAAAGCACCCCCGGGATGTGCAGGTCCCAATCCGATTGTTGCTCACTCACCGTATGGCACAGCATGGCAGACAATGTCCGGTTTAGCCGCTCAACCATACCATCCGTTTGCGGATGGTATGGGGATGTCCGGACCTTCTTAGTCCCTAGGCCCGCACACACTTCCGCCAATAATTTAGATGAGAAATTTCGGCCCTGGTCCGTGAGGAATATCTCCGGCGCACCCTTGTCCATAAAGTATCCGAACAAAAAGGCGTCGGTAATGGCCGCGGCCGATTGGTCGGGCAACGGCCAGGCCATCGGCCAACGGGAGAGGTACTCAACCCCGACCAGCAAATATTTATTACCCCTCGCCGATGGTGGGAAAGGTCCCAAAATGTCCAGTGCCACCAATTCATTAACCCGAGACACCTGAATTGACTGTAAGGGCGGCACATAAGGATGTTTAGGTGGCTTACGCCGGGCACAGTCAGGGCACGCGCGGACGTGCCCCACGACATCCGTCGCCATGCCGTGCCAAAAATAATGACGTTGCAACGTCAACAAGGTCTTCTGCACACCCAGATGTAATAGCGTGTCACAATGGAGAGTTCTAATCAACTCGTATCGCAGGGACGCAGGCACCACCAGACGCCAGCGCTCCTGGAGACCTTCCCTCCACATGAGCAGACCATCTCGGATCGCGGTTTCCGGCGCACCCTCCGTAACCGGACCCCCAATCTCCACTTTAGATCGCTTCCGCAAGGACACTAACGACTCATCCATCATCTGCTCCCTTATCCAAACAGACCGTGGCAGATTCAAAACCCCATCAGTCGGCCCCGGTTCCACAGGAGCATCCGACTCCTCAACAGCCAACACCAGCGGCTGAGGGGGGGATAGGCTGGGCGTACATCTATGCGTCCCCGACGCACATTTGCAAGGGGAGCGCTGCGGCAATCTGGAAAGTGCGTCTGCGTTCGCATGGCGCACCCCTTTGCGATGGTGAATTTGAAATGAAAATTCCTGTAGCGTGTCCAACCAACGCGACAGCTGGCCGGAAGGTTGATCCATTTTAAGGGCATATTGTAAGGCCGCATGATCCGTACGTACGATAAAGGAACGGCCGTACAGGTACGGTCGAAACTGACGTAGGAAAAAAACAACGGCTAGGAGTTCCCTGCGAGTGACACAGTAGCGGGTTTCCGCGGGCGACAAGACCCGGCTACCATACGCAACGACGCGCTCTACGCCCCCTTTAGACTGAGATAACACCGCGCCAATACCTGTGTCACTCGCGTCCGTATCAAGAATGAACGGTTGATCGAAATCCGGATAATCCAATGTTGGGGCTGTAGCCAACAGATTACGCAGACTCTGAAAGGCCGCCTCTTCTGGCGGTCCCCACGCAAACTTACGTCCCTTACCCGTAAGGAGGTGCAAGGGCCTCGCGATGGTCGCAAAATTCGGTACAAATCTTCGATAATACGAGGCAAATCCCAGAAAGCGACGTACATCCCCCACGGTGGCCGGAGTTGGCCAATCTCGGACGCACGCCGTTTTTTCCGGGTTCGTAGACACCCCCTCAGCACTCACGATGTGCCCCAAATAACGGACGGACCGTTGCAGTAGGTGACATTTCTTTGGTTTAAATTTCAAGTTCGCGGAGCGCATCCTCGCGAACATCGTCTCCAGCCGCCTTAAATGTTCATCAAATGTGCGGCTGAAGATGATAATATCGTCCAAATATATGAGACATGTCTCCCACTGCAACCCCGTCAAAACGAGCTCCATGAGCCTTTGAAATGTGGCAGGGGCCGCATTCAGCCCCATCGGAAGGCAGTTAAATTGAAATAACCCCTGCGGCGTACGGAATGCGCTCTTCTCCCGTGAGGGCTCGTCAAGGGGAAGCTGCCAAAATCCCGAAGAGAGGTCCAGTGTAGAGAAGAACTTAGCCCCCGACAATGCGTCGAGGGAGTCGTCCATACGCGGCAGTGGATACGCATCTGCCACCGATATCTTATTCAATTTTCGAAAGTCAACACAGAATCGCAATTTGCCATCCTTTTTCTTAACCAAAACCACAGGCGCGCCCCATGGGCTGTTTGATGGCGATATAATATCCGCGGCCAACATGTCTTCCACTGCCCCCCGAACGTGTTCTCGCTCGGCGGGACTCATTCGGTGCGAATTCAACCGAATAGGGGCAGCGTCGCCTGTATCAATGTGATGGTGAAGCAACGAGGTGCGTCCCAAATCCAAATCATTGGAGCTGAACACATCCGAATACGTCAATAACAATTTGTGAAGCGCACCCAGTTGATCCACAGACAGGGAAGAATTTCCGTCACATAAGCTAGCAATCCAGCGATCATCCGAAGCCACAGGCTCGGAAACACCAGCAACCACTTCCTGGCTATGCGAACAATCGTGAGCCGTAAATGCCGTGGTGGCATGTGCCACAACCGTGCCGGCCGGGACGCAAACATTTTCAGTACCCGCATTGAGCACCTGCAAAAACGGTAATTGATCTGGCCGGACGATGGTCTGCGCCCCAACCAGCGCCAACCCGGCCGTTATCGAGGCTGAAGGAGACAACAAGATCCCAACCGCTCCTAGCTGACTAGGCAGGGGCTTCCGATACCGCAGGGGAATAAGCATCTGTGAACCAGGTGGAATGTCAACAGATGCTACGGATAGCGCCTGCACTTGTACGGCCGAAGCAGGTCGCCCCCAGGGCGACGGCAGAAACGAAATTTGACGGCCACCCGGCAGTTCAATACAATTCTCATTAATTTTGATCAAAATAGGCATCTTAGCCAGGAAATCAGTGCCCAATAAACAAGGAACTGCCAAGGATCTTGAAATCAACACAACGCCCGAGGCCGACACATCCCCGATAGATATTTTAGCGTCCACCTGGCCCACGATGCCCATACTACCCCCGTTCGCAGCGACGCACGACCCGTAAACCGGACGCACGGCCCCGGGTGGGATGCCTAACAGATGAAAAATGACATCCGAAATAATAGTCGCGGACGCCCCGGAATCGACCAAAATGCGCACGTCCACCCCTTGTATAGACCCCGGCACGGTGGACGAACCCGTAGCGGCCGCGACAACCCTCCGTGCCAATTTGCGCCACTGCGTCACAGAGCGACAAGGCCCCGTCGAAGGTCTCTCTTTAACAACAACACTATGACCGCACAACGAAGGTGATGGGTGAGGTGTAAAGCCTTGCCGGGTGTCTGGTGCGTGCCGACTTGCCTGGTTCGGTGGTTCCTTGGTCGGCTTGGCCGGTGATGAGGCCTCCTGTTGTGGCGGACCCGGGATGCGGGCCCAGCAGTCCTTCGCGTAGTGGCCCCTCCGTCCGCAGCGGAAACAATCGGCGTCGTTGCGCCGAAGCGCAGGCCTTGCATCGCGCCGGCCTCGTATTGGTGGTGCAGCACGAGAGGCCGGTCCACCGCGGCTTGACCATGGCCCCGAGGCGGCCGTCAGCTCCTGAGGGCCCCCCCCCCATCCGGCACGTATACCGACTTCGTAGGGTCCCAACCCAGAGCGCCACCCTCTGCGACGGGCCCCCCTGTCCACGCCGCGACTTGTTTCCATCGTCGTAGGTTGAATTGTGCATCCAGACATTTCGCCGCCGCCCGGGAGGTGAGCTTCTCATGCCCGCACACCGGCATGGGAATCCCAAGATCCCGCGACAGCTCGAGCATCTTGCCCAAGATGAGAGGCTCGAGCAGGTCAGGTGTTGTATCTGGATACGCGGCCATAGCCAAATCAAGCACCGCACCCCTGTACGCCACAGGCGACTCCTCGGGCGCTCGTTGTCGTTGAGCGAATCGCCGATGCGCGTCGTCAGGTGGCTCGTAGGCGTCGGCCATTTCTTGAAAAACTCCGTATAATGTCCTCTTCTTCTCGGCCTTAATGGAGCGAAAAAAACGAACAGATTCGTCGTCCAGAAGAGTCGGCAACACTTCTAAGGCCTCAGCATCGGTCCATCTCGCAGAACGGGCCGCCGCCAAAAATCTGCAGGCGAAAGCGCTCCAGTCGCCCCCAATGGCGAATTCTTTGACCGTGGTGAGATGGCGACTCCGACTTCGCTTTACTCCGCCCTCCGCCGATGGCTCCTCCGGTGGCAAATTCAAAATGGCGTCGAACCGCGGCGTGGTCAAGATGGCGGTTTCCCGCCGCGGAACGCGCAAGATGGCGGCCTCCTGCCGCGTGGCCGATGGCGCCGGGAGTGAAGATACCGTGGCGTCCTGTGGAGCACTCTCCGCTCTCTCCGTCGCCGTCCTTGGGGTGACGAGATGACACAATTGGCCCAGGACGTCCTTGAGAGTCTCCAGTTGCTCCGCCACCTGCAGCCATCGCAGATCAGCGTCTGATGTTGTCGGCGGCCCTGACACTGTGGCTACATCTTCAACCCCCGTCCCCGCACTCGTTTCAGCAGGGCTCTCCTCCACCACCCCGGCAGGATCCATGTTTGGAGGGAAGTCTTCGTCTTCGGACGAAGAAGCCGATGCTGGCGCTGGAACATTTTTCTTTCTCACTTGTTTCGACATGCCGTTGCACTTCCGACACCAATGTAATAAAGGACTCGACCACGAAGTCTGGCTTGGTGTCCTTTATTCGGTTCTTCCTCGTAACCCACACGGCTGTCCTTCTATAAGACTTCTATACCGACACTGATACTGCTGTTAACCCCGTCACGCCAACAGTTCCTCTGTTGGTCTCCCGTTGTTCTCGTAGCCTTGCTGGCTGTTACCCTCACGCAGCCCCCACTGGCTGCTCTCCTGCAGTTTCTCCTCTCGTCGTTCTCGCAGCCTCTCTCTCCTCTCGTCGCTCTCGTAGCCTCTCCCACACACACAGCCTCGCCGGCTGTGTTCACTGCAGCTCCTCGACCGCCTTCTCTCCAGCAGCCCCACCGCTGTCTTCTCTCGCAGCTCCGCTGGCTGCTCCCTTAGCTGGCCACCGCTGGCCGCCCGTGCCACTCCTCCTGGCTTCGCCCAACGTGGCCTTACTCTGGTCCAGTCTCACTCTCTCTCCCCTCCTCTTCCGGTCTCATCTCTTAAGAACCTTAACCTTGCTCCCACGTCACCTAACTCCACCTCTCCGTGACGTCACATCCGGGAGGTCGCCCGCGCCCGCATTACACATTTTTAAACAATAAGTAACGTGCACCATCGTTGCAACTGCCGCACGCGGAGGCTGAACCGGTGGCCTCTGAGGCGCAAGTCGGCTGTGATGTGCTCGCCATGGCACCACGGCAGCGGCCTTCCTGCGCGTGTCGGCCGATTCTTTAATCTCCCGCCATCGATGCGCACGTTTGACGAAGCTCTCCCACTGACGAGTGAACCTCAAACCCCCCCTCCCGCCTTCCACTCCACCCACACACACACACACGTCTGAAATCCCACATCCCCAACTGGAATCCACTCCAAACCCTACAAACCGATGACAGCCATGCCACCTCTCGATGGCGCAAACTCCGGGGTCGACTGCAAACGTCACCGATCGCCACCTGGAATAGATAACTGACCCCCCCCCCCCCGGCGGTGAAGTTCCTCAGGGTTCAATCTTCCACGGAAAATATTGGACAACCCTCAACTGCTTGAGGACACGGCTAGAGAAGATGATGACATGGTCACTCACTCCTCCATAAGTGCAGTGTTAAATGAGAAGGGAAGAGGAGGGGGGAGGATGGGGAAGGAGAAGGGGGAGGAGGGGGAGGAGGAGAGGGTAGGAAGAGGGAGCAGGCGCAAGAAGGAGGACCATCGCCATGGCGACGGCGGCATCATGGCGGGGGCGACTGTGCGTACCAGCACGCGGTGGCTCTTCTGCAGGGTGATGCGGTGGCCCGCGATGTCGACGACCACGTGCTTGAGGTAGGAGGCGTTGGGCAGGCCGCGCTCCTCGTTCTTGGCCGTGACGGTGAAGTTGGTCACGCCGGTGTCGTTGCACAGGGCCACCAGCGTGTACGTGCACGTGCCCATGTAGCTGATAAGCCGGGAGTCGAAGGTCACGTAGTGCGGATCTCCGGCCACGTGGCAAACCGCACGGTCTGTGGGGGGGGGGGCGGTGATGTCGACGGAAGAGATCGTCATCATCTTCGTCATCATCGTCATCATTGTCATTAGCATTATCATTGTCATGATCATCGTCATCATCTTTGTCATCATCATCGTCATCCTCATCATCGTCATGGTCATCCTACGTTGACATTGGTCCCTGTTGTGGGATTCCGGAATTTTCTGCCGTTGGTTCAAAGCTGCCGACAGAGATGAGCACTGGCCAACGCGCCAATATAGCTGTGACCGAGCAGTTGCTCTCGAGACCACGTCAAATCCCTTAAGGCAGTGGCGTGTGACGACATTGTCAGCTCAGGGGGTGCGGCAATCGGTCAGGTGAGGCTCCAATATTTGATTGGTCTCGCACGGTCATGCCTAGGCTATTATACAGGTTGCTTAAAAAAAATGTTAACACTTACCGTATTTTCCCGCATATAACCCTCGGGGTATACCACTTTTTACAAACAAAACAAGACTCAGGCTATATGGACGTGCGGGCTATCCCAAAAATATACGTGTGACATGTCATACTTTTTTCATGGTAGGACTATCCACTATGCAACACTTACCTTTGACTAAAGCACTGCTGAATAAACCACTCACACTAAAATTGCAAATGTTATCACGTTTTAAATTATTCGAATTGTTTGTACAATGAAACGACAATGTTTGAAGTGGGCGCACTTTGTTTACCGTAATACTTTCAGTGGCTGTAGGGGGGTGCGAAAGTTTCAGCTGAGGCTATGGATTGCACAATGGGAAAGGCCTTAACAAGCATCTACCAGACGCGGAAGCATAATTGCGGAGTTCCTTAGGCCGCTGCTATTGGCTGAGCACTATGCAGTCGTGATCACGAGCTTTGTTTCAAACTTCTAATGGCTTTGTTGCCAGGAGGCAATGGCGTTACCGTAGTGCCGCGATTGGCTGCGCAGTGCACAATCTACCAGTGCTAAAACTGTACGGGGGTAACTACCGGTCCAGTAGCTGTAATATGATGAGGTCGAATGCTGGTCAGCCTAACAGTACGCTTACTTACTTATCTACCAGTTATGTGTTACTTATTTATTGGATATTTACTTTTGTTACTTATTTGCTGTTTTAAGTTCACTCGTTTCCGGTTAGTTTGTTTTCTTTGTGCACGTCATGATTTTAATGTTAACAATTGATAGTGGAATGTATTACAAATGTAAACTTTGTATTAATATGATGACATTAAGCTGCGGTAATGACGTTGGAGGTACGGGCTATCTGAAATTTGTTTTACACAAAACGCTATTTTTGCGGGGTATATGCGTCTGCGGGTTATATGCGGGCTATATGCGGGAAAATACGGTATATGGGACTATCGTTTTTAATGGAAAAAGAACGTATAATAGCACTGTAACATGATAACAAATGTATGTTAATAGCTTCACTTGTTCGCCATCATTGTCAACGCACGCCTGGAATATTCTCCAGGTGGTCTCCAGAGCCCGGAGGCACATGTCTCGTGGTATTGTTGCAAATTCTCGGAAGTGTTCACATGTTTTTGAAGCGCCCTAAATATCGACTCCTCTTGCCCTAGTCACATTATTACATGAGTGTTGTTGTTCTTTCACACTGTTGTTGAGAGCATATCTGATGGTGGTTGTCAAGGGGGCCACCAGTGGGCAGGGGGTGGGGGGGCAAGGCACCCCCTGCCTGCCCCCACGCTCGTCACGCTACTGCCTCAAAGTCTCTGACAGGATCGCGAACCGAACGCGGCACAGCGGGGCACACCGCACAGAACTCGCCTCGTGTGGCTGCTCCAGACGACAACGCTGGCGTTCCGGCAGTCGCAGGCGAGGCCCGTGCTGTCGAGGAGCTGGCAGCTGCTGTGCTCTCAGCTGGTGGCTCAACCGTCGTGAACATGCCCGAGACTTCCGTGTTAATGTCCGTAGTGCTGACGACAGGAGGCTGCTCTGTGGGATATGTAGACTCTGGGTTTGGCGCATCTGTATATTTTGTGGAAAAGTCAAGGTCGGTAGTGCTGACGACAGGAGGTTCCTCTGTGGGATATGTAGACTCTGGGTTTGGCGCATCTGTATATTTTGTGGAAAAGTCAAGGTCGGTAGTGCTGACGATAGGAGGTTCCCCTGTGGGATATGTAGACTCTGGGTTTGGCACATCTGTATATTTTGTGGGAAAATCAAAGTCTGTAGTGCTGTCTACAGGACCCTCTTCTGTGGAATCGGTAGAATATGGTATTGGGCCATCTGTGTATTCTGTGGGAAAATCGAAGTCTGTAGTGCTGTCTACAGGAGCCTCTTCTGTGGAATCGGTAGAATCTGGTATTGGGTCATCTGTGTATTCTGTGGGAAAATCGAAGTCTGTAGTGCTGTCTACAGGAGCCTCCTCTGTGGAATCGGTAGAATCTGGTATTGGGTAATCTGTGTATTCTGTGGGAAAATCTAGGTCTGTTGTGCTGTCTACCAGTGGATCATCTGTGAGATCCGACATCCATATGTCGGTTACCATTGGAGAAGATTCAAAACCTGTTGTGGTCACGGTCCGAGGCAGGTCCGTTGCGGTGTAATCCGACACCGAGTGATCCGTTACCCCTGGCATGCCTGTCGTGCTGAAGACCGGCGCTGTGACCACTTCCGTAGGCCCTGGCGTTGAGCCGCCTGTCGGTTCGTGCACAGCTTGCGTGGCGGCCGATGTCGAGAGTTGGTTTGTGTGCGCCGTGTCCGCAGAGTCGTCCGTGTTAGCTTGTTGGGTGAAGGTGCTCGCCGGATCGGCCGGCGTCCCTGTGACAATCGGCCCCGACGCAGAATTCATAGTTGAGACGGACGCACCCCCCCCCCCCCCCCGAACGTAAATATAACGTCGCCGTTGCGTTAACTTTTGACATTAAACGTCACGATGGTTGGCAAGGCGTGCGAATGCATCAGTACCTGTGAGGGTTGTTGACAGAGGGGCTGTCACTGTCGATGGGCTCGTGTAGCAATCTGAAAAAAGGCAAATCGGTATTTTTTATGAAGTTTTCACTTTATTTAATCGTGAATTCATTACAATAATCCAACTGCAAAATGCCTTGAGATAGAACGCTCGTTTGCAGGGTATCCGAGGTAAATTGGTACACACACAGCAAACAGATAATTAACACAAAGACAAAGATCCCCCACATAGCCTTAACAGATTGTTGGGGCAAGTGCTGTTCACGAGCACCTATGAAGGCCATGCCGGCCTTCATAGGTGCTCATGAATGATTATCTGTGTAACGGGTTCCGGAGACACTTGTAGAGGTAACTTCTTTATTACGATTCAACACCACTCCAGCACTCCAACTCTCCAACAGTCCAACACTCCAACCTTCCAACAGTCCTGATACTCTGTTATAGCCTAGGTACACAGCCTAGATACTCTACTCTGGCTACGCTCTGGAACTCTCCCTCACAAGGTCGTAGAGTCGGGAGTTCCAGAGTCCCACCACTGGCTCTCACAGCATCCCAGGGTCCTCCGATGGCTGGTCTTGGGTCTTGGGTCTTGAGCTACGACTGGCCCTGATCGTCCAGGGAGCTCCCCTTTTATGCCCAGTCCCCAACGAGGGATGGGGCCGTGTGCGCCCCCAGATATCCCACAGAGCACACACAGCCCCCCCCTTTGGCGGCGCCAAGGGGATTAAGCGCCTGGGAACGCCAAGAGGCTTAAGCGTCTGACCTGCCTGGGAACCCACGCCTGGCGCCAAGAGGCTTAAGCGCCTGGCCCTCCCAGGGTCCCAGAGCCCCCAGCAGCCCCTCCCTTCTTATGTCACTACATCTGTACCGGTCCTGGGCCTCCCCTAGGTCGACTCAGCCCCAAATGAATACCTGACGCAGTGTGTAAACGTCGCCACTTGGGAGACAAAGACGGCAGGGCGTGGTGCTGGCCACCCACCCCCTCGTGCACCATGCCGGCCTTCATAGGTGCTCGCTAACAGCACTTGCCCCAACAGTTCATTAAGGCTATACGGCGGACCTCTTTCTTTTGTACAAATGTTGAACTTCTTTTGCACCGCACGTCGCCAACCGTGCTCATCGGAGGTGCCCCGTCACCTGAGAGGTCGCAGGCTGAGATGCAAACGCTGTCCAGGGCAACGTCGCTCTGCGCGGTTTCGCCACGGATTCCTTCGATGGCAAACTGCAGGAAGGCGAACGACAGTGCAGTGTAAACACCCTGGGGGCCGTTTGCTGATCATCGCCAGCCAAGGTAAATACAGGGTGCTTCAAAAAAATATTTACACTTATATGGGACTATCGTTTTTAATGGAAAAAGAACGGATAATACACTGTAACATGATAACAAATGTATGTTAATAGCGTCAAACAGTCTCCACTTGTTCGCCATCATTGTCAACGCATGCCTGGAATCTTCTCCAGGTGGTCTCCAGAGCCCGGAGGCACATTTCTTGTGGTATTGTTGCAAATTCTCAGAAGTGTTAAAAAATGTTGAAGCACCCAAATATACAGCAGGCGTCAGGCTCGGGAATGAGCCCACGACCTCCTGCATGCCAGGCAAGGTAGTTAACAATCGCCACCGCAGCACCCCCAGTGCCCTCGACAATGACGGAACGATCCCAGCGTGCATTGCGACGTGAGCGTGCGCTGCATTGCTCGCGCGCTGCTGGTGCGCGTGTTGGTCTTGTAATGTACGTACGTTGAACTTCTTTCGCACTGTACGGAACCAACTATGATAATCGGAGGTGCGGGGGAAGGACAATAAACTAAACACTAAAAGCAGTTCTAAAGAAATGAGTTTTAAATCTAGATGATGATTTAAAAGTGAAAAGCTCAAGTGGCTTCCTAATATCGGAAGAAAAAGCGTTCCAGACGGCCGTAGAAGTGCATCTGAAAGTGCAGCGCGATACGGTGACCATCTTTGTTCAAAGTCCAGCCAAAATCCGCCACTGCTGCTGCTGCGAGGATGACGGCCAGAGTTCGCGTGATGATGCTCTTTTACGAGATCGGCGGGGTGCATGTTTTGGATATATTTGTGGCGAGCACTTTGTGTGTGCGAGCAGCGAGGAGCCATGAGAAGTGTTCCACCTGCCTGGAGTGGCCCTTGGCGGAGAGCGAGGAGCCGAACTGGAAGCCACCACCGCCCGTGGTTGCCGCGGGCGGACCAAATGGGATCCCCCAAAGAGCCACCTGCACCAGACGGGCGTCGGAACGAGACTCGGTTACTGAACGTCGCACAGGGCTTGTGTGGAAATAACGTGGGGGCTGGGGTCTTGGGGGAGGAGACCTTGCAGCATCTGTCACGTTGTCAGTCACAGTAGGTCAATCGATTTACTTCAAGCCTTGCTCTGCCTTGATGCGTTATTTTGCTGCTTATGAATTTCCACGTGATAATGAGACACTTCGTTGAGCTATCATTTGTGGTGGCCAGGTCGCTTCTGAAAACGAGCGACGTAGTTCAATGGGCCTTACCTGGTAAAATGCTTCTTCTTGGTTCTTTCGGTAAAGTCACATAGAAGGGAAGTAATAAAAAAAACATATATTTTATTATTTTACTATATTATTTTATTATATTATTATATCATATTATTATATTATATTATTTTATTATATTATTTTATTATGTTTTATTTTTATTCTTTTATTACTTCCCTTCTACGTGACTTTACCGAAAGAACCAAGAAGATGAATCTCTGCAGTCACGAAAGCTTTAAATCGAAATTTTGGTAAAATACTCTTATATATCATGGGACCTCCTTTGCCAGTGTAGTAAGTTCGAGGAGACGATGTCGAAGTTGAGGCACACTCTGTTTATTAACCCAGGGACAGGCACAATAGTTGAAGGGGTATCGGCCCCTTCACCCGTACTATGGGAAACCCACCCTAGTCCTAAGCCCTCTGTCCTGTCCCCCAGTCCTCCTCTACTGGGCTACGGGAGGCTGACTGATCTGGCCCTGGCAAGCACAGATCTCGGCACCAGCTAACCAGCCTTGCCCTGATAAGGGCAGCGGTCTGGAAGCTCTTGGGCCGCGCCACTGGCTTACCCGGCTCGGCCCTTATAAGGACGGCGAGACCGGGGAGTCCCAGGGCCTAATCTCCGAGTCTTGGATCTTCACTGGTCAGCTTCGTGTCGAACTGAACTCGAGCTCTTTGGGTCTCCACCTTTTATAGGGATCGCCTCCGAGGGCTGGGGGCGTGGGCAATAACTGATGCGGACGTCGGTGTGACCACCCGTGTATGTGAGTGCCGACAGTCCTGTGTTTGTTGTCCGCCGTTTCTCCCGTAATAACCCCTACACCAGTACCAAAATATACTAATAGGGTTTTTCCGCTTTTTTTTTTTCCTTTTTTTTCCGGCAACAAAACTGCCAGAAAAAAAGGGGAAAAACCCTATTAGTATACTCTTATATAAGCGCACAACTTTATCTATCTGTGATGAACGCTGCACTTTCCATCGTTTTCATGCAGGGGGCGCTGCAAACCGACGCATCCCCTGCATGAACAATGGAGGTGCAGGGACAGACATTCGATTACGCTGGAATCGATCTGCAGACGGCGGTCTTTTCGCACGGCCAGCTCTATGTCGCCTTTTCTCGATCCCGCAATCGCAAACAGGTCAAAGTTCGCATCGAACCGAACCCCCAGCAAGGCCATCTACTTAACGACGAGAGAAAATTCACACGAAATGTCGTTTTCAATTAAGTCTTCCAGATGTAAAATGATATAAGCTTATAATGAAGAAATTAAATTATCTAATTCAAAACATAATACAGTTCAAAGATGTTTCATTTTAAAACTTCAAAACAGAGCATCGGGTGCTTGCGTCGTTCGTGTGCAATATTTTTTGTGAGGGGCGCCATAGGCGCCCCCAAACAACCCCTAGTAAAAATAGTTTATTAGTTTAACTACCTTGCCTGGTATACAGGAGGTCGTGGGTTCAATCCCAACCCTGACACTTGTATAATTGACATGTGCATGTTGTCCCCGTGATCGCGTGGATTTTTCTCCGGGTCCTCTGGTCTCACCCCTCCACATTTAGAATCACTGTGCGTTAAGAGTATTTGGCTGCTGTACATTTCTACATGAGACGCCGTTTCGTTGAGCTATCGTTTGTGATAGCCAGGTCACGTCCAAAAAAGAAGCTAATAGCTCAGTGGGCTTTACCTGGTAAGGTAAACATGAATTTTTGCATAACACCACTCCATGCAATGCTGCAGTACACCCTAACCTGTTGCAAGAGCAATGACACGAACTGTAAATTGATTGAATGTTCATCACACATTACCGAAGAGCTGTCCACCAGGAAATAAACAAAACCACATTCTGAAATGTCAAGGGGCGTCAAATTATTGATGAGTCTGCAGGCTTCCTACCTTCCTTGATGTAAACGTTGATGGCCATGTTCTCTGCTGACCCATACAGGAAGTAGTGGAAGCTCAGGACGAGGCACCCAGAGGAGGGGAGAGCCGGACTCTCCAGCAGCAGCACCGCTCCAGGGCCGTTGTACTCGGCGTCCAGCAGCAGGTAATTCCCAACTACACACAGCAGAATTAACACAGTGGTCCACACACACTGTTGTATTCACTAACACAGTGATCCACACACACTGCTGTATTCACTACCACAGTGGTCCACACACACTGCTATATTCACTCACACAGTGATCCACACACACTGCTGTATTCACTCACACAGTGATCCACACACACTGTTGTATTCACTAACACAGTGGTCCACACACACACTGCTGTATTCACTAATACAGTGGTCCACACACACTGTGCTGTATTCACTAACACAGTGGTCCACACACACATTGTTGTATTCACTAACACAGTGATCCACACACACTGTTGTATTCACTAACACAGTGATCCACACACACTCTGCTGTATTCACAAACACAGTGGTCCACACACACTGCTGTATTCACTAACACAGTGATCCACACACACTGCTGTATTCACTAACACAGTGGTCCACACACACTGTTGTATTCATTAACACAGTGATCCACACACTCTGCTGTATTCACAAACACAGTGATCCACACACACTCTGCTGTATTCACAAACACAGTGATCCACACACACTCTGCTGTATTCACTAACACAGTGATCCACACACACTCTGCTGTATTCACTAACACAGTGATCCACACACACTCTGCTGTATTCACTCACACAGTGGTCCACACACTCTGCTGTATTCACAAACACAGTGATCCACACACACTCTGCTGTATTAACAAACACAGTGATCCACACACACTCTGCTGTATTCACAAACACAGTGGTCCACACACTCTGCTGTATTCACAAACACAGTGATCCACACACACTCTGCTGTATTCACAAACACAGTGGTCCACACACACACTGCTGTATTCACTAACACAGTGGTCCACACACACTGCTGTATTCACTAACACAGTGGTCCACACACTCTGCTGTATTCACTAACACAGTGGTCCACACACACTGCTGTATTCACTAACACAGTGGTCCACATACTCTGCTGTATTCACAAACACAGTGATCCACACACACTCTGCTGTATTAACAAACACAGTGATCCACACACACTCTGCTGTATTCACTAACACAGTGATCCACACACACTCTGCTGTATTCACTCACACAGTGGTCCACACACTCTGCTGTATTCACAAACACAGTGATCCACACACACACTGCTGTATTCACTAACACAGTGATCCACACATACTGCTGTAGTCACTAACACAGTGATCGAGACACATTATACTAGGTGTGGGTTTCAAGGCCAGTAGCTTGAGTGGAGGCTGTGAGTGATGCGAGGCTGTAAGATACTCACAGCCAGGCCGTGAGAAGTCATCATCAGGGCCAGTGTTCTCAGTGTTTGTGGGACCACTCCAATGCTCCCAGCCAAAGTCCCCTCCGCTGTTCGCCCAGCCGCAGAAGTCACCCATCTCATCGAAATCACATCCGCTCACACACTCTGTGGGGTGATTTAAATAAAACAAATAAATGAGCATCAATATAAAACGCAGAAGCATCAGCCACGCATTCACACACATTGGTATATCTTTTTTTTATTAACCTGGTTTCCGGGTTTGCGTTTTCGACACCGGTAAGCGTGCCGATGATGTCACGGGGCCTTTGGGTTGCACTTCGGGGCACGTTAGGAGGTGCCTTGTCAGCGCCGCCAGCACCAGCAATGGATCCGTCAGCTCTGCGAAGTGCGCTGGTCGTCGGCCTGCTTACTGCGCGGCTATTCTGCCCATTCTCGTTGACCAGAGAACCAATGTTTTGTCGTTCTCTGCGAAACGAACAACGCGATACGTTTGGGAATGAACACCGAAATCTCGACCCAAACGTCGCACCTCCCGACGATGAAAAACTCCTTGGAGACACCGGCGGAACCGTCAGTCGCATCGGAACATTGACAGGCCGATGTCGACAGGCCACATCTCTCCTTCACGAATGGAACATGAAAGACCCAAGCCACGGTGGTGCGATTGTGTCCATGCAACCCGCACAGAGTAATCCCACAATGGAGGAAGAGCACAACTACAAATTGGACATTGGCGTTGTGCTCCCGAATAGACACAAATGCGAGTACAGCACAATTGCTGTTCATCGCGGAATTGGTTTGTTTCCTCATTGCACCTTTTTGCATTGTAAATGAACAAATAATTCCACCCGCACGGCTCGTGTGAGTCGGTGTCGCGGTTTCTTGCAATTTGCTGCAGTTCTAAAAAAGTGACGGCTGCTTGAAACGCCATGGTGGCAGGAGGCCGAGCTACTCAGTGAGGAGTCTCCAAAAGTCTGCTCATTAGTTTGGAAGACCCTGTAACTGCGATGGAACGAGTAATACGTTACGTTTTATGTTGGAGAGACGGGAGGAAATTATGACAGAAAGTAGGTTTTACCCTTTCTGGCAATAAAACAGGAGGTGTTAAGATGTTCAAACGCCAAATAGAAACATTTTGCAACGGGGCATAATCAAGTCTGCAATATGAGAATAGGTTTTCCCCTTTTATCTGGCAACAAAACAGGTGTTGAGATGTTAAAACACGAAACTGAAACCTTTTACAAGGAATCATGTCTGCATTAACCACAATACTTGTGGTCAGAATGCAAACAAAAAACATACATGAGACTAGGCTCAAAAGAAAGCTGTCTCTGGTGTGGACCAATAAGTTTCAAAGACAATGCATATATTATCAGAGTATGTTTTTTGTTTGCATTCTGACCACAAGTATTGTGGTTAATGCAGACATGATTCCTTGTAAAAGGCTTCAGTTTGGTGTTTTAACATCTTAACACCTGTTTTGTTGCCAGAAAAAAGGGGAAAACCTATTCTCATATTTTGGTACTGGCAAAGGAGGTCCCATGATGAAGTCTGCAATAACCACACATACTTGTGGAAAACATGCAAACAAACATGCCCCGATAATATTCTCACATTGTCTTTGAAACTGATTGGCCGCCACCAGAGACAGCAGCCTTCTTCATGGCCCTGTCTTTCTGGCCTTATTTCCCAAAAATTGTAGTGGCTACGTGTACACACACGACGGGCGTGTCACGTGTACACACGCGACGGGCGCGTCACGTGTGCATATGCAACGGGCGCATCGCGTGTGCACACGCGACGGGCGTGTCAAGCCCGTCACGACACCCACAGTTGGCTGTGCCCCCTTTCTGCGCTCTTACCTGGACACCTTCCCAGCACCACTGTGATGTCATCCAGCGCTACGTCGCTCATCGCGGTGATTCCTCGAATGCCCTCGATGATCACCTGCAGGATTGCAGAGCTCGGGGGCATTAGTCCCAAGAGGCATGCTCCATGGCGCCACCAAGCACCAGGGGAATGCAATGGTGAACATTCAACCGAATATTGAATTACATTTTTTACGCAAAACGCAACCGGCGTCATTTCACACGGCAGATGCGATGCACGATTCTCCTCTAGGCCGGTGCTGCCAGGTGGCACTAAGCTCGGTGTGTGGCCTGGCGTAGATGGTGACGGTTCTGGTGATTATTAGGAGCCACTGACCTGGGTGTGTGGCCTGGCCTGGATGGTGAAAGTTGCGGTGAGTATTAGGGGCCACTGACCTGGGTGTCTGGCCTGGCCTGAATGGTGACAGTTCCCTGCAGCCAGGCGCTGCTCTGCTGCCCCTCAGCGCGCCACACGCGTCTCTCACTGCCGTCCTCCAGCACGTGCACGTTCAGGGTCATAAGTTCATCGCCGTACATGTGGTACCAGAAGCTCAGGCACACGTTCTGGTTGGTGTTGATGCTGGGGCTCAGGAGCCTCACTCCTCCCCCAGCTCCCACGGACGCAGAGTCCAGGTAGAGGTAGAAGGAGGCTGAAACGAATCGGCATCCCGTGCCGTCAATGTGTGCACGCGGAGCGAGCGAGCGGTGGCACAGCGGTTGGTATGTTGAACTTCTTTCGTACCATAGGTAGCCAACCGTCCTCATCAGAGGTGCGGGAAATTGAACGTGCGAACGTTTGACATTTACATCTTTAAATATTACAAATTTTTTAAAGCCTCATATTAGCAACTATCCTGCTATTAGCACAGTTCGCTACATACGGTGCAAAAGTTCAACAAACAAACATACGTAGTTTAACACAGAGGCTTCCACAACCAATTGTGCGGTTTGTGCACCACACTACGATGCTGACAAACCTGCGTAGACTCCTGGGCATGCACATCTGGGGAAAATGGTATCTGAACTTGACCTGGGAATGACTCTCCTAGGTCGACTCAGCCTCAAATGAGTATGAACTTCTGGACAAAAAAGTGACGTCCTATAAATATCAGGAGTTCTCACTCGAGTATTTCCAGCAGCTTCTACGCCAGTGTGATCAAGGAGACTCGGAACAATTCATCCACACTCACCTCCCCCAAGCCATCGTGCCCACATGCAGGCCAGGTGCTGAGTCACCTTGTGTCCACAAGGCCACTGGGAGCAGGGCGCTGCAGTGGCTAGATGTTAACTACGTCCCCTGGTATACAGGAGGTTGTGGTTTTGATCCCAACCCAGATGCCTGCTGTATATTTGGAGTTTGCATGTCTCTCTCCCCGTGGTCGCGTGGACTTTTCTCTGGGTCGTCCGGTCTTTCCCTCCACATTTAGAATCAACATCACACGTTTCGAGTATTTGGCTGCGATAAATTTAGACATGATGTTAAGACACTTCGTTGACCTATCATTTGTGATTAGCCAGGTCGCTTCTGAAAAAGAGCGATAAAACTCAGTGGGCCTTACCTGGTAAAATAAAAAATAATTAGTTTAGTTTTAAGAGCATGCTCTCGCTTTGCTCAAAAACGCACCTCACCTGGGCTAGGAGTGTAATACGACAAAGGCATTTTCAATCCGGATTACTGGCAGAGCCAGTGCATTAGCCCATGAGTTCTATCAAACAGCCCGTGGAAGGAGATATCGCAGAACTACTCCTGAGATCCTGGTGCATTAACACACTTAAGCAAAATACAGTCTCGGCACTCACATCCGGTGGTGTGGTCCCCAGGTGGACCGGTGTTGGGGTTGGGGGTTGCTCCCGAGTTCCTGATCCAGCCTCCGGCGTCATCGCCCGACTGAGTCCAGCCGCACAGCGGGAGTGCCGCATCGTCAAAGCTGCAGCTGAGACGCGCGTCTGCAGAGAAAACACGAAGCATCATCAACCCGAGTGCTTTTCCTTTGTGAAATATCAACGTCGTCATCGTCATTCACGAAAAATGCACCGCTGGATGGAGGCTTCCCCCAAATCGTGACAATTCCCCACAGTCGTGTGATGTCAAGATCCATCTGACTCCCGGTTCCAATGCGTCATCTGCGTAGTTGGTGGACGTTCTGCCCTGGCGTTTTATCTCCTTCGGCAACCACTCCATCATTGGTGACGAATGTCGGCCATCATCCCTTCCAGCCACGTGTCCTGCCCTACCCCCCTTTTCTTTTTTGTAAATTATTTTAATTGATCCAACCACATGGGTGATGTACAACTTCCGCGACACGTGAGCTGTGCATAGCAGGATAGGCGGACGTGTAGGACCGTGGCGTTATGCGGTACGTGATTCTTCCAAGAGCTCGGGATGGTCTTTCTAGCCGAAATGTTAAATACTTGCACAAGGTGCCTGGTGACGCCTTGGGGTTTAAAGCCCAGGAGGGAGGATTCAATGCTTGGTGTTATCTCGATGCCAGACATCACGTTGTACAGATCGGTTATTTTATCACGGAATGTCCTGATCAAGCCCCTTTTCTTTAAGATCGATAGTGTCCCTAACTTGCACAAGTTATCTAAGTCCGTGTCTTCCTCTTTCTGTCTCTCAACGCGGTGGCAATCAGAGTTCTCCACGTGTTTCTTGGCGCAGGTTTTCAAATTTTGATCCCCCTTTATATTTGTCCATGCCCCACGCTCCTGATCCACTGATTTGATCCAGGAGCTGTCCCTTTTGGATTTGCGAAATGGGCTGAACGTTGTAACCGGAGCGATTTACTAGACGTGCGCACAAAAAATACCACCAAGGGAACACTCAGAGCAAATCTCTTCCACAAACAAGACGGGCGGCGTGCGACGGTGAGAGTGCACGTGTGTACGTTTAACTTCTTTTGCACCGTATGTAGCCAACCGTGCTAATTGTAGGTGCGGGGGAAAGGACAACAAACTAAATACAACAACAAGCAGTTATAAAGAAATTAGTTGTCAATTTATATGATTTAAAAGTGCGTAGCTCTAGTGACTTCCTAACATCAGAATATGTATCTATACTGGAAGAATCTGATGAGCTATAAAGTTCTTGCTCACAGATGTCCAGTTGGGGCGGGTAAGAACGTGACAGCAACAAACAGTACATCGGAAGGCAGAGCGTTCCAGACGGCCGCAGAAACGCACCTGAAAGCGCCGTCTTTGTTCGGTGGTAAGAACAAAAGGCACTGCAGCTGCTGCTGCTGCTGTGAGGATGACCACCAGAGTGGCCACGTACCTGGCTCGGGAGCTGCAGGTGTCTGCGGGATGCACGCGGTGCTGGCGGAGGGCGTGGGCACGGTGGTGGTGGTCGTTGTTGTGGTGGTCGTTGTTGTGGTGGTGTTCACCGCTGTGCTCTCTGCGAAGCACGGCATGCGGTGTTCTCGTCAGTTTCACCGGAGCAACGTTCCATGCGAGATGAGCATCCAGTAGTTTTGCACGATTTAAATTTTTCCGTGGACGCATATTTGCATTCATCTATATTTGTATCTTTCTGGGATTGCTTTAATGCCACAAAAAAAACTACGAGATTGTTCACACTTACATATGTGTGTATAAGAAAACCGTATCGTCCTTAAACCCTGAGCGTATTTAAACTGCAGGAGTAAAAACAATTCTCGATTTCATTTTATTCTGTACGCGCACGTTGTGTCACAGGTGAACTTTTCCACGTGCAACAACAAATTTCAACACACCTCGTTACTACTGAAAACACAAAGGTAACCATGGCGTTTCTACAACGCATTACAACGACGTGTTTCAAACACGTTCATTGCGTGCACGCACTGCCGGATCGTACAAATCAACGTAACGTTGAAAATAACAAGAGGACTAAACGGGGAGTTCACCTAGATCTGGGGTCCCCCCTCGTGAATGCCACTCCAGAAACCTTGAGTTTACTTGACTGACCTTGAAATGAGACTGACTCCCCCCCCCCCTCTTTCCCCCATCTTTTCCCGAAGAAAAGGGAGATCTAACGCATCACGTACCGCACAATGCTACGGTCCTGCACGTCCTTGTTGATTGTCGAGCCACCAATCCCTCACCTGTCACGGAAGTTGTACACCCCCCCCTTCCACCCCCCCGTGGTTGGATCAATGAAAATAATTTACAAAAGAAAAAGAAGAGGACTAAACAACACCGCTTGCTGCCACATCCGTAAGCTCACGTGCCGTGCAATTCGCGACACGGTTTGTATTCACGCAGCATTTAAAGGCGACCCGCATCTCAAGACGCTGCACAAAAGAGTGCGACTCAAGTCACGGATTAGCTTTGGATCGCTCAAAGCAGGGTGAGGGCGCCACAGTGGCTAGGAGACGTTAACTATCTCGCCTGGTATACTGGAGGTCGTGGTGAGTTCCGATCCCGACCCTGATGCCTGCTGTGTATTTGAAGTTTGCGTGTCTCTTTCCCCGTGGTCGCGTGACGTTGAGTCACCACTATAAGTTCCCACGTGCTGATGATAAGCCACTTCGTTGAGATATCATTTGTTATGGCCCGGTCGCTTCTGACAGAGAGCTACGTAGCTCAGTGGGCCCTTACCTGGTAAAATAAAAACGAGTTTTCTTTTGGTTTAACAAACCACTCATGATGTCTGAAACTGGGAAATCTGAGCTAAAATCTCATCTCAAACAGGATCCACAAATTACCAATGCAATCTGTATATTTGTGTGAAACATTGATTTGTGTGAAACATTGACAAAATCGGTTGCACGGGTAATGCTAGTTTATAGTTTTGAGGCATAGGCAGAGGAAACAACAAGTGTCCCATCTCTATTCAGGGGGTGCAGAACAATGCCTCTGACTGACAGGGAAAACCATCGGATTCCTTACTGCACGCAAGCCGGTGGATTGTTTGCATGCCCTCTCGTCGTAACCAAAAGACTTCGACATTGCCACCTAGCTCCTGCACGCACGTGTGAGCTATCATATGCAAAAACCTAATTATGCCGTAGCATAATCCACCGTGGTGTTACACGATGCATCGATTAATGCGATGTTAATACAAAACATACATGAACCCTTCATTTCAATCGTCACCGCCTGAGTCTTGACAATTTCCTCTCATCGCTGGCTGAGTGAATCGTTGCATCCTCGGTCACCTTTGGTGGTGTCGTGAGAAGTGGCCGTGGACTCCGTCCGGTCGGTAGACGGCACGGACGAGGTGCTGACGACGATCCCTGGTGCTGACGACGATGGGGAAGGGCTCCATGTGGAGTCCTCGACCATTGAGCCTGTGGAGCCGCCCGGGACGCTTGTTGTTGCTGTTGTTGCTGTTGCTGCTGCTGTTGTTGCTGCTGTTGCTGCTGCTGTTGCTGCTGTTGTTGCTGCTGTTGCTGCTGTTGCTTCTGTTGCTACTCCCGTTGCTGCTGTTGTTGCTGCTGTTGCTGTTGCTGCTGTTGCTTCTGTTGCTACTCCCGTTGCTGCTGTTGTTGCTGCTGTTGTTGTTGTTGCTGTTGCTGCTGTTGCTGTTCCTGTTGCTGCTGCTGTTGCTGCTGTTGTTGTTGTTGCTGTTGCTGCTGTTGCTGCTGCTGTTGATGTTGTTGCTGTTGCTTCTGTTGCTGCTCCTGTTGCTGCTGCTGTTGCTGTTGCTGCTGTTGTTGCTGTTGCTGCTGTGATAGGAACCGTGGAGCCGACTGTTGCATCCTGGGTGCTCTGTGCAGTGCCAGCGGTCGGCAGCGCCACGGCTGCGCTGCTCGCCGTGGATTCTGCGGCAGGCGTCGCGACGGGCGGTTGAGTAAAGGTCGTCGTCGGCGGTGTGGAACCCGGCCTGGAATGCGTGGTAGAGATTGGCTGCGGGCGAGCGCTGTCAGCGTGGGTCCACGCCGTCGATCGTTCGGTCGTTGTGACGAAGCCGGGCGCAGATTCCGCCAGAGTTGTGGATTCTGGCGGTGACGTGTGTAGTTAATGCGACAAGGAAATGACAATGAACGTGAATGCAATCGACGTCTCGTGTGGCATTCGAATTGGCATCAATATCCATCCATCTCCTCTGTGCGAAGGTGTCCACCGTTCAATTAACGCGGGGTGATGCCTCACAACAGCCGCACTCATACGTGCGGTGCCAACTGCAATCGCTCAAAGGTGTTTTTTTTTCAATTCTGTAAAATGTATTAGAAATATGTCATCACCTGCAGCAAACAGCAAATTTCGTAAACAAACATTTTCAACTTTTTATCAACTTCTGGATGAAGCCCTCCCCCTCACCGTGTGAGTGGCCGGGGTTTTCTTGACCATACTTCACCACACTGGTCAGCGTGGGTTGGTTAAGGGGCAGAACTAGGACTGGTTCAGATATCGCTCGCCACTGTGAACCATGTCCACAATTTAACGGAGGTCGTCGGGTTTCATGGTGCCACTACAAGATCACTGCTCCCACCCCAGATATTATGAATGACGTTATCCACCCTGCGATATTCCAATCAAACGAATCACCCAAACGCGTTTTAAAGGTGACTTGATGTGAAACCTGTAACGGACAAAAGTTAGGGTCTAAATTGGGCGCCGCATTGGCGAGATGTTAACTACCTCGCCTGGGACACAGGAGGTCGTTGGTTATAACCCAACCCTGATGCCTGCGGTATGTTTGGAGTTTGAGTGTCTCTCTCTCATCTACGTAGCTCAGTGGGGCCTTACCTGGTAAATGTATACAAAGTTTTGTTTTAGTTTAGGAATGCTTTGTAAACAAGACTGACGAAATTGTTTATACTGCTGCAGTCACATGCGTGCATTTCTGAACGAGACAAGATGGACATTTCCGTCACATTTCAAGGTATAGAATGTAGCGATGAGACGAGGGAGGGGCTTACCTGAACTTCCACTTGTAGTCGGGGGTTCACAGACTGTTGACAATGCACATAGTACACACACACACACACATGAATGTACATTAGTATGATACTGTATTCTGTTAAATTGGCGTTTGTCAAAGATTAATATAAAAATGTCATGCCACGGTGTAAGTCCAGTGTAAAGAGGAGCAGAGAGGTAACCGATGCTGTCACAGGACTCATAATTACACAAGCACTCAACCCATCATGAACGAGGCAGATCCCAGGCAGGGCTCACTCAGCCCATCATGAATGAAGCTGCTCCCAGGTAGGGCTCACTCAGTCCACCATCCGTCTAAGGCCGGTTAAATGAGCAACACGTGGTGAGCACTGCTTGGGTGGACAGTTTACTATGTTTTTTTATTTTACCAGGTCGATTATAAATGTGGAGGGAAAAGTCGGAGGAACCGGAGAAAAATCCACGTGACCACAGGGAGAGAGACACGCAAACTGCAAATATACAGCAGACGTCAGGGTCAGGATCGAACCCACGACCTCCTGTATACCAGGCGTGGTAGTTAACATTTTGCCACTGCCACACAGTGGATGGCCCCATCTACTATAAACTACGTCCCATGCCACCGTAATGTGGAATGTGCATCGCTGGCTCCAGATTGCCAACTGGGTTATCCGCACCGCTCATCAACTTGCCAGACGCACGGACGCACGGTACCGATCCTTTTTAAGCTCCGAACGCGAGCGGCGTTAACAGGGAATGCGTGACAGAACAGGTGCACTTTTGCGAGGACCTACAAACAGCTTAACATGTAGCAGGCTTTCGCGACCAATGTTATTCATAATGAAGGTTTTTGGGTTAGATCGCGTAAGTATAAAAGTGTCGTAACCCTCCAACACCCGACACAGCCAGCATGGTTTGTCACATACAGTAAACAACGTGCCAATTAGTTTCTACTTCAGCCCACTGGGGTGTTGGAGAGTAAATCCACAACATTTACATACAGCTGCTGTGCTGTGACCTCCGATGAGTACGGTTGGCTACGTACAAAACAAGTTCAACGCACGCGACGTAGCGTGACGCTACCTCACAGTTCAGCGCAGTCATACCTGGCGCACAGCCCTGCTCGGTGACACACAGACCGTCCAGAGCAACGTCGCTCTCGCCTGTTTCACCCCGAACTCCTTCAATGGCGAACTGGAACGTAAGAAGCACACGGCGCGAGTTGGTTCGCGTTCGGAGTTATGAGAGCCGACAGAGCAAAAAATTCGTGTCTCCGTGAAACTTCTAAGTGGGAGGTCACTGGCCGATTAATGCATCAACGAATATGTACGTATGTATGGTGGACTTCTTTTGCACCTTACGTAGGCAACTGTGCTAATCGGAGATGCAGGAGAAAGGACAACAAACAAAGCAAAAAGCAACTCTAAAGAAATTAGTTTTCAATCTGGATTTAAAAGTGCATAGCTCCCAGTGGCTTACTAATATTGGAAGGAAGAGCATTCCAGACGGCCGCAGAAGCATCTTTGTTCGATGGCCAGCCAAAAGCTGCTGCTGCTGTGAGGATGACCGGAGTTCGCGTGATGGTGGTTTATGCTCCTTGTTGAGATCAGCGAGGTATTGTGGCTCATTTGTGGCAAGCGCTGTGTGTGTAATGAGTGCGAACTTATTATAATGGGATACGCCTCGTGCATAACTCATCGTGGGCCATCTTGGGGGATTTTGGGCACAATGTGAAATGAATAATGTTCGCAATTTGCCTGTCTCATTCACTCGTGTTGCGTGCCTCAGTGAGGAAGCTTTGAGAGCAGTGTTTGGTGTAGACAGGCAGCGGGGGGTGCAGTCAACACGAAAGCTCCCCCCCGCCCCCCCACAGTGCCACGCGTCGATCACACGCCCCTACGACGAGATCCCGCGAGAGGCATGAACTAAAACTAAACTAGCTCTTTTTCTTTAGAAGCGACCTGGGCTATCACAAATGATAGCTCAACGAAGTGTATAAATACTACTAAACGCGTGACATTTATTCTAAATGTTTAAAGAAAAGTCGGAGAACCCTGAGAAAATTCCATGCGCCCACGGGGAGAGAGAGAAACATGCCAACTCCAAATATACAACAGGCATCAGGGTCGGGATCGAACCCACAACCTCCTGTATAGCAGGCGAGGTAATTAACATATCCTAGCCATGGAGTGCACGCTATTCCTACTCTACTCTCGCGTGCGGCAGCGACCAGTTCAAGAGCTCGATGCCAATGTCGAGGTCTGCTGGCCACGACGAGCGGGCTTCGGCACAGAGAGTTCGTGTCGTTTTGCCATTCCTCCTCCAGTGAATGAGCGCTGGCCACAGCGATATCGTCCGTTGTTTGTGTTGCATGGCCACAATCGCGCTTGCTATGGCTCGTCTTCAATTCCCCATTTGCGTGCGTGCCGAACTGGTGACGCTCTGGCCCGGTTGATGGTTCTACCGGTGTCTTTGGGGAATGTCTAAGCCAGGAGGCGTTGCCATGTTTGGGTTATCTAACGAGTTTGTGTTCATTTGTGGAAAGCCTCTGTAAAGCAAGGGGCGTAATCCGGCCAGTGCGGCGCGAAAGTCCAAGTCGAGTGTGGTGACCACGACGGCGACGCTACACATGTAGTGCTTTTATTTCACGCGGACAACTTCTTCTTTTCCCCTGTGTCACTTTTCATTGAACAGAACTCCTCGCGTTCAACACCACGTGACTCTGTGGCAACTCTCCCGCTTGCGCTGCTCGCCTGCTTCGCTCACTCCACTCTCTCTCTCTCAGCCTCTCCACCAGGGGCGGTTTCTTCATTAGGGCGATTGGGCGACGCACCACCAATGTCATTGAACCACAGAGTCACGCTAGCCGTCACTGTCAGCCTCTGGATATAGTCCAATCAGCGTCATGTCACGTTCTGTGGAGTACCGCCTTTTTTTGGGCGATTTCACTCCGGCTGAGAATCGCCCCGAGTGGCCCCATAGACTTACATTCAAAGATGTTTTTTTCGAACGGCGGGCGCTCCAATGCATTCTCTATGGCTTCCGGGAGGGCAAGCCCTAACGTGCTTACGTCATCATACGTGCTAACGTCATTATACGTAAGCACGTTTCATCCAACAATATAATTTATCGCCACCTAGTGGAATCTTCTTCTTGGTTCTTTCGGTAAAGTCACGTAGAAGGGAAGTAATAAAATAATAAAAATAAAACATAATAAAATTATTCTCACGACGTTTCGGCCACAACGCAAGTTATTCTCACGACGTTTCGGCCACAACGTTCCACTCACTGGCATGGTGCAGTGTGCAGAGTAATGTATGGTGTCGTAATTGTATAGTAAATATATAGCAGTGTGATACACATTAGGGTGGGTAGAATAATACATAGTGTTATATTAAAATGGATAAGGCAGCAACTGCAGCAGCAGCAGCAACTGCAGCAGCAACTGCAGCAGCAGCAGAAACTGCAGCAGCAGCAGCAACTGCAGCTCCCTTTGATGCTGTTAATCCTGCATAATGCACATGCATAAGCAGTACTAATCACATTCCTGCATTTCCCATAAATATGCTAAATTCCTCTTGATATGCAAATTCCTTTGTCAAGGCGCCCAGCTTATATATATATGCTCCAAGCTCGTGTGCTGTTTCATTCAGACTCTGTCGCCTCGACGGACCTGGTTTTCACCTGAGGACTGCTGCTTGCGTTGTGGCCGAAACGTCGTGAGAATAATTTTATTATGTTTTATTTTTATTATTTTATTACTTCCCTTCTACGTGACTTTACCGAAAGAACCAAGAAGATGAATCCCTGCAGTCACGAAAGTTTTAAATCAAAATCTAGTGGAATCTTTAATAAAATAAACTTGAGTGGTTTGTTTTAATAGTGAGTATAGAAACAAACAAGATGTATTGTAAGAGTCACTTTATTTTTCATTAATATTAAAGAAGTGAAGTTGCCTTTACATGCTTAAGCTGTTAATTTATCCATTGCATGGGTGGACCTTATCCTTATCAATCATCCAGACATTTGCCCCCCCTGAGAGATTTTGCAGGAGCCGCCACTGCTCTCCACTGCTAGCCTGCTCTCTCTCTCACTCTCCGAGCCTCTCTACTGCTAGCCTGCCTGCCACGCTCTGCTCGCTTTGCTGTCTCCACTGCTGGCCTATCACTACACCCTCTGGTAGCTTCCCACCATACACTATACTAGCCTCACCGCTGATAGCCTGTTACCGAACACTCTGCGAGCTTCTTCACTGCTAGCCTCTCACTATATCTTCTGCTAGCTTCTCTACTGCTAACCTCTCGCTATACACTCTAACTTCTCCACTGCTAGCCTTCCGCTATATACTCTGATAGCTTCTCCACTGCTAGCCTTCCACTATATACTCTGCTAGCTTCTCCACTGCTAGCCTTCCACTATATACTCTGCTAGCTTCTCCACTGCTAGCCTTCCGCAATGTACTCTGCTAGCTTCTCCACTGCTAGCCTTCCTCTATGTACTCTGCTTGCCTCTCTAGTGCTAGTTTTCTTGCACTCACACTTAGGAGTCCGCTCGCCTCTCTACTGCTAGCTTATCTGCCCTCACTTCTCCAACCTCTTGCCTCCAGTGGGGGATCAGCCATCACCGCTGGAGAGGACGAGGTGTGGAGAGCAGGACCCGGACTTCTCTCGTCTCCCCGCTTCTCTTTACTCCAACCAACTCAACTCACAACCATTCCCGCGTGTCTCCGCACATCGCCTTATATCCCCTTACTCATTAAGAGACCCCAGGTAGCCCTCATTAAGCTGCCGCTCACGCAGCTCTCTGCCACGCTTATCGTCTCCTTTTCCAGACTCCCAGGCGCCTACACCGTGTCTGCATTTGCAGCCAGCCAATCACTGCTATGCATCTTCATTGGTCGTCTCTCTCTGGATTGCTCTCTCACCGCACCTGTTTGCCCTGACGGGTCCTCACTGTCCGCCGCTCACACGTGCGTTTACACTGTTGGCAAAACCCCACGCGCTACTCCACTACACACACACCAGGACCGCTCACTTACCTGCACAGCTCCTCTGCCAGAGTATTCGACCCGCGCCAGCATCCAGCTCGCTCCCTGGTTCCCCTGCAGGGACCACGCGAGCTGCCGGCTGGAGCTTGCTGCGGACAACCCCACCAGCAACGGATATTTAAAACGCAGAGCCGCAACCTTCGATCACGTCACGGGGACACACCGCACTCCGCCGCGGAGGTTGGAAGTCTCTGGGATGATGGAAAAGCGAGCTCCATGTGAATTTTGATTTACTCGATTGAAAGGCGTTCAGTTTTACCGGAGAGCTGTCCACCAGAAAATAAACAAAACCACATTCTGAAATGTCAAGGGGCATCAAATTATCGATAAGTCTGCAGGCTTCCTACCTTCCTTGATGTAAACGTTGATGGCCATGTTCTCTGCTGACCCATACAGGAAGTAGTGGAAGTTCAGGACGAGGCACCCAGAGGAGGGGAGAGCCGGACTCTCCAGCAGCAGCGTCGCTCCAGGGTCGTTGAACTCAGAGTCCAGCAGCAGGTAACTCCCAACTACACACAGCAGAGTTAACATAGTGATCCACACACACACACACTGTGTTGTATTCACTCACACAGTGATCCACACACACACACTGTTGTATTCACTCAAACAGTGATCCACACACACTCTGCTGCATTCACTAACACAGTGGTCCACAGACACACTGCTGTATTCACTCACACAGTGATCCACACACACTGCTGTATTCACTAACACAGTGGTCCACACACACACTGCTGTATTCACTCACACAGTGATCCACACACACACTGCTGTATTCACTAACACAGTGATCCACACACACACTGCTGTATTAACTAACACAGTGATCCACACACACACTGCTGTATTCACTAACACAGTGATCCACACACACTGCTGTATTCACTTACACAGTGATCCAAACACACTTTGGTGTATTCACTAACAGTGATCCACACACACACTGCTGTAGTCACTAACACAGTGATCCACACACTCTGCTGTATTCACTAACACAGTGATACACACACTATGTTGTATTCACTAACACAGTGATCCACACACACTGCTGTATTCACTAACACAGTGATCCACACACACTGCTGTATTCACTAACACAGTGATCCACACACACACTGCTGTATTCACTAACACAGTGATCCACACACACACTGCTGTCGTCACTAACACAGTGATCGAGACACATTATACTGGGTGTGGGTTTCAAGGCCAGGAGCTCGAGTGGAGCCTGTGAGTGATGTGAGGCTGTAAGACACTCACAGCCAGGCCGAGTGAAGTCATCGTCAGGGCCAGTGTTCTCAGTGTCTGTGGGACCGCTCCATTGCTCCCAGCCCACGTCCCCTCCGCTGTTCGCCCAGCCGCAGAAGTCCCCCATCTCATCGAAGTCACATCCGCTCACACACTCTGTGGGGTGGGGGAGGGTCACGGACAGGACAGAGTGGCTCATTTGCAATGAGGTGTCTCACGGTGACGCGACTTTTGCATCAGCTTTCGGACGGTGCAACACGTCACGGTGTTTCGTATGGCATGTGCGCATCAGTTGCGGTAAAATGTACGCGTGTAGAACAACTTAACGCTCTGACAATACAAGTCAAATTTATGTAATAACATCGCATGCGGTAGGTATGGTTTTTCAGGCTCGGAAAGTTATCGGCATTCTTCATCGCCGTCGTCGTCGCTGTTAAACTCCAACATTCGGGATAATTCAGGATTTTTCGTGAAACGAGATCGCGACCCTGTTCCTGAGAGTGCACAGATCTGTGCTCACCTGGGCATTTCCCCATCACGACGACGATGTCATCCAGCGCTACGTCACTCATCCTGCTCTGTCCTCGAACGCCCTCGATGGTGACCTAGGAAGATCGCAGAGCCTCGGCACATTGCTCCCAGAATGAGGAGCGGCGCTACTGCTGCAGAACTGGGCAACCAGCACTGGTGCATGTTCACGCAGCGTATGCAGTTCATTCTCTCCAGCTGCTCTATCAGTAATTATTAGGAGAGCTGCAGTGGATAGAGGTTGACTCCCTCGCCTGGTATGCAGGAGGTCATGGGTTCGATCCCGACCCTCACGCCTGCTGTATATTTGGAGTTTGCGGTGTCTCTCTCTGTCATCATCATCACGGTGGCTAGGAGGTGTTAACTACCTCGCCTGGTATGGAGGAGAGCGTGGGTTCGATCCCGACCCTGATGTCTGCTGCTGTATATTTAGAGTTTGCGGTGTGTGTGTCTCTCTCTCTCGTGTGGATTTTTCTTCGGCTCCTCCGGGTTTTCCCTCCACTTTTAGAAACATGCGTTATGTATGTATGTTTAGAGTATTTGGCTGCTAGAAATGTACACATGATGATAATCCACTTCGTTGAGCTATCAATTGTGGCCAGGTTGCTTCTGAAAAAGAGCTACACAGCTCAGTGTCCTTTACATGTTAAAAAAAAAGGTTTTTTTTTTGGTTTAACAGCCCGCTCATGATGTCTGAAACAGGGAAATCTGACCTGAAATCTCGTCTCAAACAGGATCCACAAATTACCAACTCAATGGAAATCTGTTTATGATTTGTGTAGAACATTTATTAACCACATATCTAAACTTTTGTTGGCAAAATCGGTTTGCACGGGTGATATCATGCGCAGACGTTCCTTTGGCTCGTCAGATTTAAACTAAAATGCGTTTCAGTGCGTCAGCCCGCAAGCTTTCCAGACATTCAATTTTGTACACTAGAATACTCTGAACCAATTTTAATGATGTGGAACTCAACATCGGTCAGGTTTTTATCATGTGCGTCTCATCAGCAGTCAGGCTTGTTCTCGATGCTACAAATTCTAGCTCAGCTGACGAGACTGAGAAGTTGAAAACCAGTGCAGAGTTTGCCTGTTTAAACATATTCTGCAGTTGGATAATAACTTTGGATGGCCCATGGCCTGATGCACTGATCATATTGCAATTGAATGTAGAGAGATAGACGGAAGTCTGTTTATGTATTACCCATAATGCTCTACAACAGTGCACAGTATTGCATTTGTGATTGCATAGCTTCAAGTCAACGATCTCAGTTACACAAATCACAGTGTAAATGAGAAGCCACTTGAGCTATGCACTTTTAAATCCAGATTGAAAACGAATTTATTTAAAACAGATATTTTTCTGTTAAAGTTTAGTCCTTCACCCACACCTCCATAATCACGGTTGGCTACGTATGGTGCGAAGTTAAACGTACAACGTACATACAACATACGTACAAGGTGATTGGGCAGCGTGAATCTCCCCTTCACACTGGGACCTTTATGCAAAACACAACCGGCATCATCTAGCACGTCAGATGCGATGCACGATTCATCTCAAGGCCGGTGCTGCCAGGTGGCACTGAGCTGAGTGATTATTAGGAGCCACTGACCTGGGTGTCTGGCTTGGCCTGAATGGTGACAGTTCCCTGCAGCCAGGCACTGCTCTGCTGCCCCTCAGCGCGCCACATGGGTCTCTCTCCGCCGTCCTCCAGCACGTGCACGTTCAATGTCATAAGTGTATCGCCGTACATGTGGTACCAGAAGCTCAGGCACACGTTCTGGTTGGTGTTGATGCTGGGGCTCAGGAGCCTCACTCCTCCCCCAGCTCCCACGGATTCAGAGTCCAGGTAGAGGTAGAAGGAGGCTGAAACAAACGAGGACGTCCCGCTGTGATCCCTTCGCAATGTCCTGTGAATCAAGTTCTTATCCGAGTCTGGAGCCATCCTTGCTGGATAAGTTCAAGGCACAGTCTCTACCGAAGGCTTCAGCGTGATGCAAACGACATTTTAATTAATCCTTCTCTTCACTGCTATTGTTCATCCCAGCATCTCGAAAGCACAACAGGAGGCCCATCCAACTTTGTGGCTTTTCACGCGACCAAAGATGTTCTGTCCTCGCAAGAGAACCACCGCAACGGTCGCGTCAGTGAGACACAAAGCCCTGTTAGGTGCCTCTGCATTAACGGGCTGGGGTCTCACTAACATGGCCACCTTTGCTCCCTTAGCCTCGATGTATCGATGGTTCTGGCTGTGTGATGGGCTTTGTGTCTCACTGACGCGACCACCGTTGTGGTGGTTCTCTTGCGTGGACGCGCTTGCCTCACAGCGCAGTTGGCAGCGCCGCAGCTTGTGTTACACATAAACATGACATTAACTTGTTAATCCCCCTAATATCCCTGCCTGATCTCTCCCATCAACATAGTGCTAATCTCCCATTAACACTGCTGTTGTGCGCATATGCTGGGATGATACTCTTATGCGGCGACGGAAGCTCATTTCATGCTAATCTCTCCCTAATCTCTCTTTCCCTAATCTCCCCCATTAACACAACTGACGTGCTTGCATCCGGGGATGGAATTCCTTTCCAGCTCAGACCCCGCCTGCTTGCCCTTCGCCACATATATAACAGCTCTCTCGCTGGTTCAGCAGTTCCACTGCTGGATTATTTTTTCCGCCTGAGGACGACCGCTTGTGTTGCGATCGAAACGTCGTGATATATTATTTTTGTTTTATTTTATTTTTCTACCTATGTGACTTTACCGAAAGAACCAAAGAGTATAAATACATTTTATTTTGCCAGGGAAGGCCCACTGAGCTATGTAGCACTTTTTCAGCAGCGATCTGGCCATTACAAATGATAGCTCAATGTAATGGCTTATAATCACGTGGACATTTATAGCAGCCAAATACTCTAAATGCATGATTCTAAATGTGGAGGGAAAACCCGGAGGAGCCGGATAAAATCCACGCGACCACGGGGAGGGAGGGAGACACGCAAACTTCAAATGTACAGCAGGCGTCAGGGTCGGAATCCAACCTGAGACCTCCTGTATATCAGGTGAGGTAGTTAACATCTTCCCACGTCTCATTGGTGAGCATGGGAAGTTGCACGGCATTAAAAAGAAAAACGCAACAATATGAGGCAGCGAGTCCGTTCCCCATCTTTCTATCCCCCGCTTTTCATAACCAGTTTGGCTTATCTATAATATCCTTTTTTTTTGGGTTTGATGTCATAAATATAAATGTGTCGTTAAACCCGCCACCACACGACACAGCCAATGAATAAGGTTTGTCACGTAAACAGAACGTGCCAATTCGTTACTAGTACAGCACACCGGTGTGTTGGAGAGCCAAGCCACAACATTTACAACGTTACATCACGTCACAACGTGATGTAATGAGCCCAAACATTGCCTCAATGAAAACAAATAACAATTAGCTGTGTGCAAGGACATATGCACTGTTTAGTTCCAGCTCAAGGGACAGGGGTGTGGGGGTGGGCAGTGGTGTCTCACAGCCGGTGGTGTGGTCCCCAGGTGGGCCGGTGTTGGGGTTGGGGGTTGCTCCCGAGTTCCTAATCCAGTCTCCATCATCATCCGACTGAGTCCAGCCGCACAGCGGGAGCGCCGCGTCGTCAAAGCTGCAGCCGAGACGCGCATCTGCAGAGACGACACGAAGCATCGACGCGCATGATGCTCGTTTAATTGTTCACGTGTAGTGAGTCCAACTGAGTTGCAGACTTTTCTCTTTAGAGACAACACATTTATTGTAACATCAACACGTTAACACAAAGGGGTAACTGCCCCTTCACCAGATACAGCCTAGAGTGGTGACCACCCAGCTAACTACTCTATACGTAGGAGTTACAGCGACGAAGGGTCAGACCCTCACTCGAGTCCTCGACCACGTGTTGATGCCTCGTAGGACGTAGAGCTTCCAGCTTGTAGATGTGGAGCTTCCAGCTTGTAGACGTAGAGCTTCCAGCTTGTAGAACGAAGCGACTCTGGTCTCTCTCAGGGACCCACCTTATATTCTCCCGGGTCGGGGCCGCTCTGCGATCGGCCCCGCCCGCCTTCTCGAGCGTTCTAGCTCCCTCTCGATCCCCCTTGGGAGCTTTCCCTGGACACGTGATCAACCCCTAGCCCCCCCACCTGGGGCCTTCTCTATGGACACTCCAGATCATGTGTCTACGGGGTCAACCAGAGTGCCATGGCCCGGGACAACCCTGCCCCTGGGCTGACACTCTCCCACTCCCCCTTGTGGGAGCCCGCACTACACGCTATGCGTGGTGCCCGCGCTATCCCAGTGCTCACCAAGCCCCGCTAGGGCTGGTACTACACCCGCCTACGGGGTGTACGCGATGACGGTGCATCGCACGCCATGCTGTGCTAGAGCCGGCATCACACAGCAACCCACACGGTGCTGTCCGCGACGTAGAAACATCGCACGCCACGGTCCTCCCGGGCCGGCACCATACAGTGACATCCCCAATGTCACTACACATACACAAGTCCATTGAGTCGAGTTATCTGTTTTGCCAAGCAGAGATTTATATAATCGTCACTTGTATTGACGGTGAGTGGGAATCGAACTCGGTTCACCAGTTTTCGTAGTGCAGCACGCTAATCGCTACACCACCGCTCCATACATCAACGCACGTGGCGTTTGATTCTTTATTGAATTTTGGGTTTAGGTCGCGTTAAGTCTGAAGTCAAATACCCTTTGCCACCTGACGCAACTGAACAAATCAAGTTGCACACATGACCAAACGTGCCAATCGCCATGCTTTGCTGAAAGGCAATCCACACAGAAGATGTGACCGTTAGATCGGGAGACGTTTTGTGATACTCGTCCGCGTGTATTGCATCGCGTCTAGCTCGCTGGCTTTTGTAACGCAACTCCGGTCGAAAGCGGAATCTGGTGGCATGTGACTCAATTCGGGGCATGTGACTCAAACCCCCGCTGGGGGTTGCATCAGCCCTCATCCCATATGGGGGGGGGGGCGGGGGTCATTAACTATTTAGATTATTTTGGCTGCGATAAATGTCCAAATGATAAGCCACTTTGTTGAGCTGTCCACTCGTGGTAGCCAGGTCACCTTTGACAAATAAGTTAATACCTCAGTGGGCTTTGCCTGATAGGATGGGGATAGTTTAGTTTTGTATTTGTATGTGTGTGGGTGATTTATTTACCTTTTTTGTACTTTCCACTCCTATCGTGTGTGTGTACTGTTTGTTGTTGTAACATTCTTACGCGCCCCAAATG